TCGGCGTATCATACGTGTATGTAATAAATAATATTATAATTTAAAAAAAACAAAGGCCATAAATGTGAAGAATATATTATTTCCATTATTTTTGCGAATTTTTCAGCTATTTATTATACATCTATATTTTAAAAAAATATAGAAAAATAAAATGTAATTTGTATTTAATTTATTATTAACTAATAATTAATAGTTATAAATTTAAGTTGTCTAAAATGCTTTAATATCCATTATTTAATATAACATACATATATATATATATATATATATATATATATATATATATAAACAAATAATATCATATCGACTACGTGGCTATTATGAATAATTATAGTTTCCCGTTTACCACGTGAACGAATTGACAATATAACCTATATAACATAATTATTTTAGAAATTGCACAACTAACCTATTCATAGTTAGGTATAATTATATTACCTATATACATATCGTCTACTTTATTGTTTTGTTCCTGAATCGATATTGATTTCGAGGCTTTGTCCTAGCAACCCTCAAAAACATAATTCCCAATTTGCGTACAAGTGTGTATACGCCAATTTTACGCGTACAATTTTGTCACTGCTATTTTATGTTATTCGTGCCACATTTTATTCCACATATATTTCATACCTAACGGCTAATGTGAAACTCAATGACGAAGGGAGTGACTTACGTTAGGACAATTTTTACTGTTGCAGTCCTATAGTGGCACACAGGAAAAAAATACATAGTTGGTCCTGCTAAAATTATTATAGCTAATATAGGAACAAAATAAATTTCTAGTTGGAATAATTAAATAAAAAGTTGGCCGAACTATTTATTTAGTTATTCCAATTAGAAATGTATTGTGCCCCTATAATAACCATAATTTTAGTTGGACCAACTATGCATATTTTCTGTGTAGGTACATCTTGATAGATATACATATAAGATGAATATAGTATTCTTGATGTCTTATACAGTATAAGTTATACTACCGACATAGCCTAAGTTTTTTGTATACGTCCATTGTTACCTAAACGTCTAACAATGATAAAATAAGCTACTGAAATGTATTTCTACTTACAAATGTTGTACATATTAATATGTTTTATAATATTTCTAATATTTTTAACAAACCTTAAAAAAAAAACCATTAAAAAATATTAGTGCTCCTAAATTGTTGTACATAACTGTGGAATATATATAGGTATTTACACGGTAAATGCTGAATGGCTAGTATGTAATATAGGGAAATAAGGCGGTTTTGTTCCCGATCGGTCCTAAATTTGTATTTTAAAATATGTTTAATGTGCGAGAGCGTATACAGAATGCACTCTTGAATGGTTTACCTGTGAAATTCTTATGTTCTACCGAGTTGACAACGTGTAAAATGTAATGGTAACACGTGAAATGTATGTAAACAAACCGAAAATTTGTTGGGATTTTTTTAAAAAAAGAACACTACATTAGCCGTCAATAAAACGCATCCGCTCGGGCAGAGGTGACTTATCCCGAAAGGTTTCTCTGCCGGGCACAAAGGTCTATGCAGGTCAGCCAGACTGCGAGGAGCCCGGCGGCCGAGGCGACCCTCTGTCTACCTTTTTTACCCCTCCACCCCGGTCATCTACCACCGTACCTGTTGACACCCCCATAAATATATACGGTCTAGTATTTTCGAAATTTCTCTACGGCGTTCATTCGTCTCCGGCACGCCAGTCCGGTGTCCATAGACCAGCAAGTTAGATCTCGTGCAAACACAGCAAACCTAATAATATGTGTCAAAAGCAGTTGTTAAAAATGAAGACCAAGAGGAAGTGTTACAGGAAATCCGCGATACCCGTGCCCGAAGGTATACGTACATATTATTATTATATTACGCTATCGTGCATAAAAATTAACTCAAAAACAGATTTTATCATATTTGCTTTTACTACTTTATCAATATACACTCGTATTTAACTACTATTTTACTAATACTGCGATATTTAACTACATCTACGTGGCGGCTAAGTTGTAGTTCTGAAATGGCCACCTTTTTTCTGTTCTACGTTTTTTTTAATTTTTTTTATTATCAACAAAATTGCGTCGGAAATATTATTCAAGTACGTGAGTCTGGAAACGTTTGCGCTTAAACGGATTTCGATCGTTAGTAGATAAATCACGTTTCATAGCGCGAAACCGCGTGCGTCACTATCTCGGTGTCCCCCCTTGCACGCGCGACACCGGCTTTGCTCTCCCTATTTCCCTCTCTTTTTTTCTTGTTCAAACACTTAAGCGTTTTTAAGCCGCGTTTGGCCGCCATTGCGGTCGCGAAGAAAAGCCAAACGACGGTAAATATCAAAGCTGATGTAGTTAAGTATACGGCTGGCCATTGCGGCCGTTCTGTTTTGTAGCAAAAACGAGATTTCAACCTTTTTTTTTGCGGTAGACGACATTTTTTCCGAATCTAAATTTATTTGAAATAAATGAACGTTAAAATTGGATTCAAGACTACTTATGGACGCTACCTTCTCAACTTGGTTTAACTTGGGTCCACTTTCCAAAAAAACCTTTGATCTATTCGGATACCGTTTGTTAAACAAGAGCCGTGTAGTGTTATATTACTATATAACTATGATCCAACAATTAAAATGGTGCATTTCGAAAAAAACGTACGCGTTCTTCACGTTTTGTTAATTATATCGAGGTATTGTTTTTCTGTTTGCTAAATGACGTAACCGTTTGAAATATATTGTTATGAGTACACGTCGAGACATTGCACCGTAAAATTCCTCAAATTATTATGACGAAACGGAATGTGTGTTTAAACAAAATTTGTTAAATTTATAAATATAATACCCATACTTTTTACCGTACTTGCCCGCTTATAGACTTTAGAGAAGTTTGTGACATTTTTCAATATTTATCGTTGGATTATTTATCAAATCCAGTGGGTTCATTCATTTGATCTCGATTAAAAACTTTACCGTTCTAGTTGAATATACATATTTGTTTTAGAGTCGACTGAAAAATAATTGTGCGATAAGAAATCAATGATTATTAAATGGAAACTCTTAACTCATAATTTACTATTATATTTTACGATTTTTTCTTACACTTACATTTGCGTTTAACAATAACAAGCTATCTGTTATCGCACGAATAGGTAGTTGTTAGAATATTATTTGCAAGTAGTTTCTAGGTACACAGCAGTGTTAGTATCTAAAAAAAAAATATGATGACATTGACGTTTCAAATCGAACTGGACGTTATAGGATAGTTATTATTCTATGTTTACGTTATACATGTAGCATTATGATAACATTTTTTACATATTGGTTTTCGAGCGATGAAACATAAAACCGATGACATTGAACTAAATACATCAAACATGCAATAAAAAGCATTACAATCTGAGTTCAGAAAGAGGACTTGTCCAAAAATGTGAATTTTACAGGAGTCACAAAAAACGGTTAAAATTAATTAGTAATACCTAACATTCTGTAAAACTTCTTACAAGTTCATTAATACCATTCTACAAAGAAATATCATGTTTTGGTCGCATTCAATTTTTTTATTGTGTCGACCGTAGCCATTTATGAATTGTGTTTCATGTCTTATATTTTATGAATTCAACAAGAATTATTAGGAATAATACTTATCTTTCACTTTCCATAATACAAATGTATACTTCAATATCCTCAAGCATTTCAAAACATATATTATATAACTGCTGAAATTAGACACACTGACCATATGCGACTACAGGACATGTCTCCTATTAATATTAAATATGCATTTTGGTGTTGGGAGGAAAATTGCGCGACCAAATAACTTTGCCGAAAAAATTGGACATGTCCTGAACTTAGCGATTTGTATAAATTTTAGCTAATTTATGAGTATACAGTTTCAATTGACAATTGGTTAAATATCGGATCCGTAAGCTTATAAGAATTATTCTATACATTGAAAAAAATGTGATTTTTTTGGCCTGCGCAGTATAAAATATCTCAAGCCAACACTCTATAAAGATCAAACGTACTCTTACTATTATTTATTATATGTATTCCTATTTCATAGTAATACGTTAAGTAGACCTCTCGGCTCTCAACACCTTCACGCGTACCTTATGTTGTATACACGGTATAATATACCTGTAGCTGTAATCTGTAATCTGTATTGTAATACATATTTCTTATATGACATATAGTTTCCCGGTCCTGCCGATATTCTTAGAAGTCGGACAGAATTTGTGGAAATTATACGTTTGTCGGTTATAATGAAAATATAAGCATGGACAAATCAATTATAAAAAAAAAAAAAAGGGCTACGGAGTTAAACATTTTTTGTTCTATACTTTACGGGGCTTCTATTTCAAATAGATAAAAACGCACCGCCCAGCGGCTAGCCTTTTGTGTAGAACTACGTTTACAGGTATACTGCATTATATACCACCACTAGTATTTTTTTAATTTTAAGTTTATAGCAAAACGGTTCAGAGGAAAATGACCCGTCGCGCAAACGTATACAACAAACACGCGAGGTCAACGGTTTTTCATCAACGGATATAATATCAACATTCCGTTTTGGAAAAGACTAGGAAATAAAACAAAAGTGACCGTTTTTATAAACAATATATCCATTGTCAAGGTTGCTTTGGTAAACAAACCGCGGCTATGTGTAGTCGAATTATATTAATGTCGTTTCAGTTCCGATATAGTTTTGAACAGAGTCGGTTCAGTCTCAGATAAAAAAAAAATATGTGTACACTTAAAACAATACAGTACTTATAATTTCTTTTCTTTTTCTCCTACTATCGTGTCCGGCACCACAAATACCGTTGATTTATTTTGTCAATTTTTTTTTTTTTTTTTAATTTACATGTGTATGTGTCGTGTGCGTTCGTGTGTATTGTAATAGTTTTATGCTATAGAAAAACAAATTTCAAAATGCACGCTGGCGGTAAATCCGCATCTCGCGCGTTTACTCGGTGTATATTTATTAATATATATTTTTTTTTTTTTTTTGTGCGTATTTAGAGATGAGAGAGCGGAGTAGAAACGCTGCCAGGACGCGCAGGGAAAACGAAAATGCAGAATTTTTGGAACTCGCCAAGCTGTTGCCGTTGCCTTCGGCCATTACCAGTCAACTAGACAAAGCTTCGGTGATCCGGTTGACGACTAGCTACTTAAAAATGAGACACGTCTTCCCAGACGGTAAGTACCTACCTACCCAACAACGTAGTGAAAACGGAAATCTAATAGGCGCATACCGATTTGATCTTTACCGTTTATTTCTATTGCACCATATACATAGGTCTGGGAGACGCATGGGGTGCTGCCACGCCGCATAACCACATCAAAGAAGCGTGCATAAAAGAACTCGGCTCCCATCTACTACAGGTAAATATGACTACTTTGCGATAAATCTACAGTTCAACAATAATTATAGGCTTAATAACAAGTAAGGCGATGAGGGAGATAAACGACGTGGAACGATCTTGTGCTTAGAATTTACATTTACGCATAAGGTCAGGTGCCCCTCAATTTGCCCCAATTTTTAAATGGGTATTAATTATTTCAACGTTATTATTATCAATAATCTACATTTTTTTCTTTAAATTAACTTTGATCGACTTCCGCAAAGGCTTTGTAGGTTTTGAGTTTCTGTCAACAAGCTTTTTATGTATAGTTTTGGTGTATTTTTTATTTTTTTTTTTTATGTACTATAGAGTCTGGACGGATTCATATTTGTGGTGGGCGGAGATGGAAAGATTATGTATATTTCAGAAACCGCATCGGTCCATTTGGGTCTGTCACAGGTAACATTCAGTATACATGTTTAACTAATTTTGATTATTTGTTATAATATAAAAATATATTAGTATTATAATACATGTTTTTAAATATTTCGACATACCTATATATGTTTTTATACGTTTTTTTCTTTCGATATTATATTATATAACTATTTTTATTATATTCAAAGTATTAAATAAATCATAAATAAATACCACTATAATATTAATTTTTAACTGCCAGGCAATAGATTTATATAGATATAGACTATAATCTTCGTTTTTTATAGATAATACATATTTTTCAGCTATCATAGCTTAGTAATACATCCAAAATCGTATAATAATATTATATTTTTGGGGATTTTTCCTATCGACTTATTTAGGTTGAGTTGACCGGCAACAGTATTTTCGAGTACATCCACCAAGCTGACCACGACGAAATGATATCAGTGCTTAGTCCTCATCATCTGCCGCCTAATTTAATGCCGACCGACAACATGATGTTAAGTGAGTATAAATTGAAATACGTTATCGACCGATTAAATATAAACTAGAAAAAAAAAATACAAAATGTAAATTTGTTTTCTCTATTATATTAAACTAACTCATTTGTTTTTGTATTGTACAGACTTTGAAGTGGAACGTGCATTTTTTCTTAGAATGAAGTGTGTATTGGCCAAAAGGAATGCTGGCCTAACTACTGGCGGTTATAAGGTAAAATATAAATGATTACGATTTATGATATTATTATTGCTTAAATTCTCTAAATATTTTTCGCGACACAAAAATACCAGTAGAATGATTAATAGGCCACTGTTTACTTCTAAGCAGTTGAAATCTTTTGTTTTACAATATGGGTTATGACGCGTATTATAGTACCTACCTATAAAATAGGTTTTGTAATACTATTGATCTTAATTGTTCTTATCTACGATTATTATCGACGTGAAATCTTAAACGTTAATTTACATAAAAATATTTAAAATAATTTTAATTTATCATAATAAAATTGTTTAAAATAGTGCGTGGTTAAATACAACATAATAGAGAGTATATGACAATAAATTTAGCCTTGGGTATAGGTGTAAAAATCTATAATGGAATTATAAAGCGTTTACAACTTGAAGTTTGAATACTTAGAGAAATTACTTTAGAAAACTGGTTAATTTATATTATGTTTTCAATTTTTTTTTTGGGAAGGAGGGGTTTCAATATTAGAAAAGATTGTTTAAGGTGATCTCAGCCTTTGCCATTAAAAAATTACCGTCTTTTATTGTAATTGCCTAGCTAAATGTATTGTACTTATGCGACAGCTACGCTCGTTGATGCAAAATGCACCTTAGTGCATATTTTCATTTTAATTTTCGAGGTTAATGACTGCTTAGTATTATTATGTTTATACCATATTTTTAACTGCAGCCTAAACAATAGAGCTATAAAACCGTCTGGTAGAAGTTTAAACACCCGTTCGGTCAACTGAAGAAAAAAAAATAAACGTGTTTACTATATATTCGTAGTAACGTTCACTGTTCATATAATAGTCATCGTCAGTCTTAGTATGCTAAGCGTAAACTAACATTGAAATAACAAAAAAAAAAATAATTTTCTGTATCTATAATTACTCAAAGTTCATTCTAGAGTCGGTTCGACCACATTTTTTTGTTATTGCCTCATAATTTTTAACATTTTTTTTTTTAACATCTCAGCTTTATGCGTTAAAGACAAAATAAGAACTATTGTATTTAACGATTAGTAGGTACAATGACAATTGGCAAGTGGACACATATAACGGTTTTAACTTTATAATAACTAATAACTGAAGGGCACAGGGGAAAAACGGTAGTAGTCACATTATGAAAATTTTAGAGTATATCAAAAACAAAGTTCGTGAATTCCTCTCCCATTTACATAAGAACAAAAAAAATCACATTAAATGCTATTCTAATAAAAAATGTATTTATTTAAACAATCTATTGACACAAATAAAAAAAAATAATGGCATAAATTGAAAAAAACGATTTGAAAAAAAAAATTGTCATAATGTGACACTACCGTTTTTCCCCTGTGCCCTTCAACTAATAATAGGAAGTAAGTGTGAAGAAAAATAGTTTTAATTATTTGGAATTTGGAAACTGTATTTATTGAAAAATATGTACTGCTATAATATATAAACTCGGCGGGCATAAACCTACTGTATAACCATAACATCAAATAATATAGTCACATTTACATAAACAATGAACATAAGGAAAAATCGGTGACCTTGTAAATGTGTTTAAGCTATTTAAATATATAATTTAAGCCTATGAACGCGATTTTAAACACACCAAGTTTAATGCGTATGTCTTGGAATAACTGTTAAAGTATTCGACATAATTAGGGGAATTATTTGTTAACATTTTTTAGTTTTATCTCATTAAATTTTTTTTTTTTAATATTATTGTGTATGAAATTTAGTAAAACAAAAATAAACCAATTGCATTGTTCAGCAAAATTTGACCTTTTTTGTAACACAAGTTAAAATACATTTATTTGTCGCTAAATCTGAATCTGATCTCAGAATTGTCTTAGCGCGTCTTAGTTTTTTTACCACCTCTATAAAGTTATAAAAAGCACCGTTGTTTGTTGTTTTCAGCGTGTCATGTACTTTGATTGGTTTTTTAAAATGTATTTTCAAGTATACCTAGTTTTTATTTCATTTTTTTTAGTTAGAACTGGTCTCATCATTTAATTTAGTGTGAAAAATGCTAATTTTTATTTCGTAAACGAAGCTTGGATTTATGGATGTGTTTTAAAAACAAATTACCGTCTTAGAGAAATTCTAATGGCAGAAACAGAATTGAAATTCGGATACGATAACAAAAAAAAGTATACAATTTTTATATTTTAGTTCTGGTCCTAAAATAGTGTTGTTTGCGTACCTTAGATACCTTAGAACTAAAAGTTCAAACTGCTCCTAACCACAACAGAAATTTCAACAAAATTATGATGTATTTTTTTATTGACCCTTGGTTCTAAAGGGCGGGGTTAACGTCAAATGTTCACCACAATGTTGACTGCAAAGCCCACATCGTTCTATGGGACCCATGCACGAGAATGCATTTCGTGTGTTTCGGATTTAGGAAAATCGTACATCATGTATGTACATACTTTTTTAGTAGACGTTGTGATTTATGATCTTGATTTTACTTTTTCTGTTTTTGTTGCACTCGCCAACACAGGCTTAAGTGTAGACCATAAAAATCACTCATGTGCTCGGCGGCGGCGTGTGTTCGTGCATACATTACACAGCTAATGCGAGCCATAGTCGGGCCCCGTAATAAACTCGCGCACTGTATACAGTAATAATAATATAATATTACACGGGGAGGAAGTGAGGTGGTGACGATTGTTGTATAATACAAGCGAGAGGGTTCAAAATATACAAGAACGGATGCGGTTGGGGAAAAAATATAGAAGAGACGGGCGCCATGTTGCAGTGGCCAGGTGTGTTAGCGTTTATCGCCGCCGCCGCCTTACCTGCGTAGGACGAGCATTTACCATTGGTTGAGCTCTCCGAACACAGTCCTCTCGGCACTCCTCCTTTTTGTCATGACAAAAAAAACAGGAAAACGCCGGCCAAGGCGCAAAAATAACAGATATAATAATAATATCAGGTGCATCAAAATATATGGCGGCGATAGTACTATAATATAGAACGGATTCCTGGAAGCAAAGTCTTGTCTTGGAGCAAATTAGAGAATTAAATAGATTTGGTTGAACGTTGGATACTTATATTTTTATTGTTTAAATTAAAAAAAAAAAAAAAACAATAAATAACCATAATAATTATTGTTAATTAAATTAAAAAAAATAATAATATAAGATAAACGTCGGTAGCTAAGGGGCACTTCCCATCGTCTGTGTGAGATAGTATGTTAATTAATTGAAAAACAAGTAAATTTGTATTAAGGGTACAATATTTTAGTGCAATTTATACAGCCGTTTAATATGTTTTTTGTTGAATTTTTTTAAATTTTAAATAGAAATCGTATAAGAGTACCCCAAACATTTTTTTTCCGGTAACACCGTACAATACGGTAAAAAATCTAACATTTGTAATGGTGGGTGTTGCTAGTGATTTATAATTATGAATCTTTAACGTTAATTTAAAATCGACATTTTCCGGTGATAAGTCATATGAAAAAAATAAATTTTCCTAATTTATATATAGGTTATAGGTATTACTTATTAGCGAATGAATTAATGTAGCGTTATCGACAAGTTTAATGACTACACCGATTCTACTTCGTAATGATGATGTACTGTAAAGTATAATGCTTATATCTGATTTTTGTTCCAAAATTCGACTTCGAACTTTTTGAAAATTTTATTTTATTTAAAACTCTTTTGCCTGTACTCTGTAGGTATTATAGGTACACTGTACAATATCTAGCGTTTAATATCATTACGAATTATAGACTGTATACTATATCTTGCCTACGCCGGATATACCTACCATTTGGCTAAAACTGTATTTTCGGTAAATTTCTACAAAGGCATTCGATGGGAACGCATTTTTGTTTGCGCGCAGTCACGTCCTACGCGGTAATTATAATATGTTTTTTTTTCTCGAATTTTTACAATAACGCGTTGAAAATGCGACGTATAGGTGTAAAATGTGTACATGCACACAATACATTGAAATAGCATGTATGATAATGACGGTAATATAGGACAATATCACAAGAAAAACGTATAACATGGCGGGAGGTATGTCCATATATTTTCTCAGCTCATGGCAAGTCACGTTTTGTCGCGTGGGCGTATGGCGGACCGCCTTTTAACTTTAACGTGTAACGACATTGTCCGAATTCCGGAACGGAACACAGAAGAAGATGATCTTTTTTCCCCTGTACAATACAATAGTATCCTTTTGGTGCTTGTGTAATAGGTGGGCTCGGCTGTGGAATAACATAATAGGTGTGTCGCCGGACGTGTGCAAGTATAATTTGCAGAGTTTTCCCAAAACGTGTCCCCAAGTCGGATGCCGGGAGAGAGTGAAACCATATTCTATAGGATGTGCTATTATACTATGTACCATTGGCTCGGACAACGCCGGCACGTCTGCCCCGTATGCGTGTACTCCACGTGCGGCATATAATATGTGTCACAATAATGTACATCCGAAGATTGATTACGCCGAACCGCGGTCGCACATCCGCCGTGACTTGGGTTAGGTACAGGCATCTAAGGTGTAGAATATGATACCTAAGGTTAGGTTTATTATTATTATTAGGTATTATTGAGACAACTGCGCCTCTAATCCCGAATGCTCATTGATACCTCACGATCGGCTCCAACGTGTCTGGGACACCTATATACGATTTTTATTACACGTACCGGCGTCCATTGTGTCTTGAGGTATTTTTCGGTATTTTTTTTTTTTTTTGTCAGGTCCGTTTTTCTAAAAATCACCTAGAAATATAATATATATATATACATATGAACCGGACGTGATAGATCTGTGCGAGAAGAGGAAAAAATATCTCACACCTGTGAAAAGAGAGATAGAGACGACCCGCGTTTAATTTATTCCAATACTTTTAAATCTCGTCTTTTCGGTCGTAGTCACGTCTCGGCCGTTACATGAATGGACTTCTTGACACCTTCCCAACGCGCGCACGTATTACCTATATAATAATAATACATAATATACATACACCCACGTATACACACACGCTAGTGCAGTATACCGTGTCTATTATTGCACAGACCTTTAGAACAGGTCCCGTACACGTTATGTGTTTTTTCTTATACTATCATAGTTCGTACATCCTGTAATAATATTATGACCGGAAGTGGTAATATTATAACGCATACACATAGTCGTATTTGTAATACATAACTTAAATACGCTTTGTTTACACAAAAGTCTCAATCGTCATTGTACTCATATTATTATGTCAGTCAGCGTGCATCGGCGTCTTAAGGGTAATTATGAACGTAGGGTCACCCGGGGGTAGAGGTGTGGCGGGTAAGCATAGAGGATCTTGAAATATTGGGGCCAGTGGTAAAATCTATAGACACGGGCTCGCTTGGTCGATTGGGTTTTATACCAAGAAAGTTTAGAAAGCGTCGTATGGTCCAAGTGTCGTTTAAACACAAACAACGGCGGGCTCGGCACACGTCCTTCGAACTTTAAAACATTGTCAGCGAACAAGTGCTTCGTTTTCTAGCATTGCCTTTTCGAATTTTCGCCTTTCAACGCCTCGTCACATCTCTGTTAATAACACGCGCAATTCCAATGTCTTAACAACCATCTTTCCACTTTTTGGGTCAACATCAACCTTTGCGTTCTTCTACAGTCTAATCTCTTTTCACGCCATGTCCGTAAACATACCAGGCATTTAAAAAATTTTTTTTTAATCACGTCGACACAACATTAATAATGTTACTAATTAAAATATCGTTTAACATAAACGTTTTTTTTTTTTTTTTTTTTAAATTGTTATTAGGTGATCCATTGTTCGGGCTACCTAAAAGTCAGACAGTACCCGGGACTGGAGACCGTCGGACTGGTGGCCGTGGGACATTCGCTGCCTCCACACGCCATCACCGAGATAAAACTTCATTCCAACATGTTCATGTTTCGAGCCAGTTTGGATTTGAAACTGATATTCCTGGACGCCAGGTAAGTCGCCGGCGCAGCGCAATTGCTGATAAAAAAAAGCACAAAAATAAAAAAAAAAACACTCATCCAACGGTCGGTTACCAGTTTTTTTTTTTTGTGTGTGTGTGTACACTGTACATAAGGGTAAGATACAAATTACCGCGTTGAGCGTACACACGCAATGCTCGCCTTTTGTATTTGATTAACGTTTTTTTCCCCATTGTTTTTTTTTTTTACCGCACGACGCGCTTGCACGGTCGTTAAAAAAAAAAAAAAGTATGACGTTACATTTTACCGTGTTGGATTACAGGGTATCGCAACTGACGGGCTACGAACCACAAGACTTGATCGAGAAAACCCTCTACCATTACATACACGGCTGTGACATCATGCACATGCGATTCTCGCATCACACACGTAAGTGTTACACACTATGTACACATTATACACGGTACACCCAATAAAGCAAGCTATGTGCGTGGAGTGCGAATTGTTATGTACACTGTACAATTAGTGACAGAGCAACCGTTGTGCGTAGAGTGGTTTCGGGGACAGATCAGATATAGCTCTGACGTTTATTGGCTTGTACTTTTTTTTCGTATCAAAAAATACGTGTAAACATATTATCATGTAAGGTCTAATGTTTATGTGTGTGTGTGTTTTTTGTTTTGTTTCTCGCAGTGTTGTTGAAAGGTCAAGTCACCACAAAATACTACAGGCTTTTGGCCAGAGACGGCGGATGGGTGTGGGTGCAGAGTTACGCGACCATAGTGCACAACAGCCGGTCGTCCAGACCGCATTGCATAGTCAGCGTCAACTATGTGTTGAGGTGAGCACTAATATATAGTTACTTACATTGTTTTGCAGTTTGCGCTGCGCAATGTTGTTGTCACGTCTTGATTATTGTGATAAATTATAATAAATATCGTTTGTTTTCAGCGAGTCCGAGGTGAAGGACATTCGTTTGTCGGTTCATAACAACAACCCGTCCGTCCAAAACGGTAACGACGAGACGCCGGTGGTCCAGAGCAAGCCGAAAACGCCTCAGAACCAGAGGCATCCCAACCAGAACCATAGATACCACAGACCGCCCGTGGTAACCGACGAAGAGTACAGCGACTCGAGCGGTGGCCTTTACAGCGACTATGTCAATAACACTACGGTAAGTGCTACACTTTTGGAAATCGTATTTTGAGCGGCATAAAAATGTCCAAGAGAAATGCGCAGGGGGCTCAATAGGGCGAGGGGCCATCCATTCCAAAAGCGTATATTATTTTAGGGGTGTTATAATTTAGTCCCGTTGCTTCTACCCGTGTTGTGCCATTGAGTATGGACGATAATATCTGTCGACATGGCTGTGTTATTTTCTGTTTTAAATTTATGAAAACGTTCTTGGCTTTCAAAGTTTTCAACTATACGTCTTTTAATAAGTAATAACTTAGAAGACGTATAATTAAAAAACAACTCCTCGATAAAAAAAAAATTTTTAAATTAGTTTATAAATAATAATACCTGCTTAATAACTGTTATTGAGATTAATATTCTAAAACAAATCAATTTATTACAAGGACAACTTAACTTATAGTTCATAAAACAATTTTATACATTGAATTTCGCAAATAAATATTTTTATACTTGGCGAAAATAATAATTAATTCAAATCGAAAATTATTTTTACTACAAAATTAACAACGTAGAACATGGTTTACTTAATATATAATTTGAATAATGTATTGGCTATAAAAAAAAGTAACTATAAAAATTAACTTAACTTGGTAAAATGTATAAAAAGTACGCAGTTAAGTTAAGAAATTTAAAATGACCATAACTTTTTTTTTACTTTTTAACCAATACCCAGCCTTGTTAATATATAATTTAGTTCTCTAGAAATGAAATTATTCTTTGAAAAACAATTTTTAATTTTAAGTATTTTATATTGTTTCACACGACACAGTATAGCAAGCCCTAATCTTCTCCTTTGTTTGGGTTGCAGGAACCGCACGCTTTGCAGGCCAACGGTCTGAACATGCTGCCGAACATGTACACAGGCGAGGAGTACATTTATCCGGACCTGTTCTACCCGTACGAACAAACGTGCACGCGGCCGTTCAGCTCCGGTTCTAGCTGTTCCAGCTCCAACGAGAGTGACCGCGGCATGTTAGGCCACCAGGCCGGTGCTGGCGGGTACACGCCGCCGGCGATGCTTATGGGGCACGACGACCAGCACGCCGCGTACCAGACGTTGACGCCCGTCGGCGCCGCCATGCCCACGGCCGCCCATCACGGCGTCATAGTGGATACCCCGCCGCAACACTACCAGGTCAACGAGTACGTCCACTAATTGACCGGCCGCCGTCCCGCGAGCGCCACCGGGCCAACACCACCACCGTTCCTATGTCGTCACTGATGTTGGCGACACAATACACTTGTAGGGACAGTGGCCCACCGGTTCTGCGGTTCGTCATTGTCCCACTAACATCACACAAACACACAAACATTCACAGAACCGTTCAACCGAAAAGCATAGCGTATCAACGAGATTTTAAAACAATGTTACCTATAAACTTTGTTGTGTACTTATACACGGTCGTCGTTTCTTTTATTTCTATTAACTATCTATTACAATAATCATTATTCGTTCTAAGAATTTTTTTTGTACAGATTATTATAATATTTATAGTACAATTACCAATACTATTTCGACTGACACACGACTCATTAACTTAATAATTACACATTTATATTTTTAAAAAAATAAAATATAATATTGTATCAATACGGAAAAGTGTGATAAATAAGTACTATCGTAATTATAGTTAAAATAATAGTACCTATCACTACTAGGTATCAAATTTCATATAATTAGTAATACATTAATGGTAAATAAATATTAAATAATATTATAATATTATACGTGTGAATATCTGTTGTACATATAAATATCTATTATATAAAGAATTATACATGTTTTATATAATATTATTATACATATATTATGTATTGCATATTTTGTTATAGTACGCGACCGGTTTTTGCGCGGTTATATCTTATGTATAAACGCTTGACTTATTTATTCCTGTTACAAATTGTGTAGAATATTTATTATTTATTTGTATATACGTTATTTTATCCTAATGGCTTTATATCATATTATAAACGACTTGTTAAGCTGCGCTCTAAATATTCTATATTATATATTACGTCTACATGTATTTTAGTAATAAATATCTTAAAAAGGAATTTTAACTCTACCGTTGCTTTCGTGTACACTGTTAACCTCGGGGATGGTGTCAGAAAATTCTCTATCCGATGTATATGATCCAATATCAGATCTAACACTCCATTGAATCAAGTGAGTTTGGATATCTAAGGCAGATGGGCCTTGGAGTAAAAACTCATAATATTAAATATGTTTCATTTTCCAACCTTAACCTAAAGAAAAATAGACAACGACGAAAATTGTAAATTTTGATGCAACTGTAAAGGTAAATTTGTCTGATTCTATGTTATGTCTGTGTTGGCCGAGAATGTATTGATTTTATAGGTTTTTAAATTTTAAAAATCGGACTGAACGTAGATCTACCGTACGCTTGAGTTTTTTTCACATAGAAATCGCGGAATTGGTGAGCATTGTTTTGTATACTATGGTTCTCGGCTTATCTCGTTACAGCGGCATAGCCGATCGGTCGAATCGTCCTACGCATATTGTTTAATATACTATATATATATATATACAGTTGTACGCTCTTTTCACAGCACGGCGGTATTGTTTAATGGGATCACAATACAAGGGAATAAAGAAAAACAAGGGTTAAAAAACATATTATTTTTTCAAAGGCGGTCCGTGGGACCGACCGTTTTAATTGCGTGCGACACGCGCATGCCACAGGGTGTATCATATAATGGGAACTGTGTCAGCGGGACATCATGTATAATTGACCGTCAGTCGCCTGTCCGTCTGCCGATGCTGTTGACTTCACAGCATGTCAAGTAATAATTATAATTATTGTGGACTGTAGTACACGTATGCCATGCGAGAGCGGCCTCCGCCCCTTTTCGGTTTTCGGAAAACTTCTCTGGACAATTTAACACAACGATAATAATAATTGGAAGTCGTGCGAACTTACTTTACCCGATAGCCTTTGCAAAATTCAGGCCGGGGCGTGATTATCCTTTTTTGTAACTTTAAATGCAAATATAAACATACAACAACTCGATAGAATAAAATATAACATCTATTTTTGAGCATGGTCTGCCGCAATTTCTGTTGTGCGCTGCTTTAGGCGTTTCTAGTTCTCTGATGGATGGACCACACGAAAATCTAAGCGAGGAAATAAAAGCCAATTCGGTTTGTTTTAGACCAAAAAGCCAGACGAAATGTCGACTACGTAGGATGTTCCAATTTCAATTCTGTAAAGTGATTCGAGTGATTCTTTGGCTACTTTACTATGTTATGTAGGAAGCCGATTTTAATTTAAAATTTTCAGTTTTTTGTAATTAAACAAATTACATTTTTCAATTTTTAATTAATTTTTTCACCCAAATTGTTTTCATTAAAAAGTAAAAAATCAAAAATCTGTTTCTTACATAACCTAGTAAAGTTGCCGAAGATTTCGTTTATCTTAAAGAATTTAAATCGGACTATAGTAAGTAGTCGAAATTTTGTCTGGCTTTTTAGTCTAAAAGGCGAAGAGACCGCATGCAGTCCCCTTAATAGCTAATACCTCTGCTTATAAACATGTTTAATACAAATAAAGCCAAACATTTTTTGCGGAGTTGCAACAGTATTTATTCTTCAGTATAATAAATTTATCAATATCAGGTAGCTCTCACACTTCTCATTAGTTCTGCATCTTGTGTACGTTGTTTTTTTGCTTAAGAAAAATAAAGATTTGGCTATGGGTTTCAATGAGGCAGGACAAAATTACAGGTTTGTCAATATTATTTAAATATACTATCTTTTTCACAACTGCAGAACAAGATAGGCGTATACATTTTGTATAAAATAACTGTAAATTGTAATATTTTATTAATTTTTATAATATAAGTTAATAAACTAGCGTCTAGCGTTAAATTGTTGTACAACATCCATGCTCAAAAAAACTATTAACCTGGAAAATGCAGTTTAAGCACCTTCAATTTTGTTTTATTGAAATTGCGCCTGCCGCCTATGCAATTGTTAACTGCTGGTAAATTTGAAGTAAATAGGTAGGTACCAGATACCAATTATTAAAATATTTAACTTCTAATCAGATTGGTAAATTGATTCAAATGCTAGCTGGCGGTTCTAATACGACCACAGTCGCAGCTAATAGGTAGTAAATTTGATAAGAAGTGTTATCACTTATCATTATTTTGATATTAGGAATCGTTCCGGCTGCATAATGTGCTGTTCGTGAATCGCGATTTCATCCCTATTACATATATAGTTTTGCGAATCGTCTACATACAAATAAATCACTTGAATGATGGAGGGAATCATTAAACACGGTTGTAAATTTCTTACAGCTCAAAAACCAATCTTTCAGCTAAGCCGGGTGAGGATTGAACCAGATAGTATTGGGTATTCTTTGGAAATGACGTTGTTGATTGAGCGTTAATCCGCTAAATCAAACTAAACCGGATCACTTTGAAATTTAACTCTTATTAAAAACTGATTAAATTTACAAACAACATTTTAAATGCGCAAAGTTCATTATATGTGAAATTTGTATGTATAATTATAATATATAAAATTTTGTTTGCAGTCCTTAGTTTTAATTAAACGCCGTCATCCAGTCCAATTGCAAAAGAAAAACTCAAATCAAAAACCCATATTAAAAGGAAGACATTTCGTCTATGATGTTGAATATCTAGATAATAAAAAAAAAGAAAATATCGATGTTATTTTGACTTCTTTTGTTGAAGGTAAAATTCAAGGCTTATAACCTTTTTAACATTGCAAAAATGTTTTTTTGAAAATGCTTTTTTAGTATAAATACACAAAAACGTCAAACATTAAAAATACATAACCACTTACAAAATATACATTTTGTATATTTTAAAATCTGATTTCTTAGGTTTAGGTCAAAAGGGAGAAAAAGTATCTGTTAAACCATCATATGCATACGATTATCTTCTTCTTCCAAAATTAGCTGTCTACGCTTCTCCCGAAAATGTAGAGAACATGAAAAATGAAATGTATGTTACAAAAGACGAGGAAAAGCCTAGTTCTATTTTTGCTTTAAAAGTGAGTTAAGTTTTATAAAAAGTGATGATAACAATTTGTAGTTATTTACTTGTTGTTTTATTGTTTTAGACCATGAATTACTTACGAAAAGCAGTTGTGGGTTTGTGCATGAATAAAGAAGAACCATGGACGATTGAACGATGGCATGTCAGAGTAGCTTTGCGTAAAATGAACATTGAAATCCTTAGTGACGATTGTATTGAAATACCAGAAAAACCAATAAGTGGGCCTGATATGACATTAGAAGGAAAATCATTTATATCTTATATTACTGTAAGATTTTTTTATTTTCATTATTTATCAGTTATTTAGTGACTTAAATTATGTTAAATCGTATGGCATTTTTTCTACAGATTAATAACAAAGAAAGAGTACCAGTGCAATGTTGTGTACATCATTGGAGTACCAAAATTGCTGACCGACTGCCTTATACGGAATTTTTTTATTTAAAACCACCTGAAGCTATTTTTCCAGAAGAAAAATCACTGTTAGAATCGCTAAAAGCTAATCAGAGTGCTTAAACGATAGCTTTTAAGCGATGCAATGTGTTTTGTAGAAATAATAAATGTTTGCACTTTTGAAATGCTTATATTTTATAATTAAAAATAATTTATTATTAAAATGTATCTTTAATTGCACTTCCAAGACTTTTTATTAGTTGCTATTAAACCATTTTAAATTTAACAATTATATTATTAGTTTGAATAATGTCAAGTAAGACTTAAAGCTACTTTTTTCTTTATGATGTTGGACTAATTTTCCAATCTTTAAATGGTTAAAAGTAAATGAAATAAATAAATAATTAACCGTAATTAAATGCATGAAAAAAATATTTGTACATCTTTTACAACATAAATGTGTTACTGGTGAAACCGATCCACTGGCACAATTAGGTATTAGTAGAGGCCTAAAAGTTATGTACAAGTTGAGGGCCCCTCCCCCACCCTCTTGAAAAATATAAACAGTTCTAGACAAGTTGAAGTACATCACTTTCTCAGTAATTAACTTTAAAAAATTAGAAAACAAATCTACAAACCACAATAAGTACATTTTTTTTTTTAAATACAAAATTTAAACAGCATTAGTTTTTTAGAGCTTTTTGTAAAAACTCATCTATTTGTTAAATTGTTGATTAATATTTTGTTATTAATTTTTACAATTTCGTATAACTTACTAAAATATTGAGTTACAATAAAAATTATGTCTTTCATGTGTGATTTTTTTTTTTAATTTTATAAAATTAAAAAAAAATATTTCACCTTGTTTTTTAGATTTAAAAAAATAATATTGTCGTTACCATGATATAACTAACAATTGTATTGACATACTTTTGACCATTTTTTGTAACGGTTTCGAGATAAAATTAAGGAAGTTTTTATTTAAGTGAGATAAAAGTTCAGAAAAATCCACTATGTACCTCATGAACGAGTCATTACACTGAATTACTTTTTAAATTATTTAATAACATTAATAAATTTATGTACACTAAAATCAAGTATTTAATTAACCAAAAAACATACAAAAAGTTCGAAAAAAGCCAAAACATTGAAGTTAAAACAAATTACACTTTCTAGTTTTTAAGACGATCCAAATACTGATCTTAAAAACAAAACAATTAAGTTGATTTATGAATAACTGGTGACGACTACACTGTAGCGTAAGTTGTCAACAAATCAATAGCTTGTTTAGTTTCCAAAAACACAGTAGCTTCTTTCATCCAAGATTTAGCGACCACATATGAGCAACCGGTTAGCAAATTTAAGTAGCGCAACGCTTGCATGAAGTCATCTCTATCGACACAATATCTGAAGAAAATAACATTTATGAGTAAAATTAATTTAAAACCTAGTAACTTACATACCTAGCCCTTTCAATGATTTCATATGTATTTAATTCCGACGGATCAAATTCATCGTTGTTTACTTCGGCAGTTGATACGTGTGAATGACGAACTATAAAGAAACTAATGAGAAAGCTAAAAGCCATTAGCGGTAGATTGAAGGTACTGTCGGGAATCAAAGCTGTTTGGTAAACCCTTTTCTCCACTTGGTTGAAGTCTTCCTTTAACTGGCCTTTGGAGATCACACCGTTTTCAAAAGCTTTGGATGGGACTATATTAATAACTTGTTTCACGATCGGATCAGAAGCTAAAATAACAAATTGCATATAAATATATTATTTTCCTATTTGTAATTAATGACATTTATTATACTTGATATTTTACCTCCAGCTTTTTTTATTGAATTTATATGGTTTGTAATATCAACTGGTTTGTCATTATCCGAAGTTGAAAGGGATAACTTTAACTTCTCGCAAGCTTCCCAGATGGTTTGACTAGTAAACACTTTTTTTTCTTTTTCAGCTCGTTCTAAATTTCAGAAAATAAATTTCTTAATATTTGTTGCAAAAATAACAATATTATATTGTTAAAAAATATTAAATTTATACCTTTTAAGTTATCAACCACATTTTGCAAATCTGTTCTTAATTTGTCTAATTGTTCTTGATACCTTTTGCGTTCTATCTGTTCAATAGCTGACAATTCTTGGCGTACGCGTAATTCAATTTCTTCCTTGGTCGATTCTACAGCTTCGACAACAAGGTCTGCATGAGCTTGTGTATATAATTTTAACTGATTTTGCATATTTTCATCGACTTTCACATTTATTTCATTCAACTAAAAAATATTTAGCCTTTTTTTTATTACATATAACTTAACATAAAAATTCAAAGATTAAAACAAAGTTCAAATTTAATAATTAGTATGTTAAACATATTAAACCTGGCTTTCAAATTGTTTTTCCAAATTATGTATTTCAGAGCTTATTCGAGAATTCACTCGGTTTGCGGCTTCTACATCAAATAGTTCCGAATTCATAGCGTTCTTTAACTTACGATCATGAAGAGCCTGCATTAATAACATAAAATTATTTTTAGTAATAAATCGCAACAACTTAATTGACTATTTCAGCTTGGGAACTTCACGTACGTCTATTTTAGCGAGTTGATCCTGATACTGGTTTAGCTTTTTCATAGCATACATTAGAAACAGGTCATAATCGGCATTTAGTTCGTTAGTTTTAGTTTGAGTGATGTCGGAATTTGGAAACAAAGACTCAAACTCTTCCTACAAATTAATAAAAAAAAATTTTAAATGCAATTAATGGTATACATACTAAGTATCAAGTACCATTTCGACTTACAATTAGACTCATTTGCCCTTTATTGACTTTAGATTGATATTTGTTCATTAATTCTGACCTATGTACCTCGCTTTCTAATGTCAAGTTAGCTTTTGATAATTCTTGTAATATATCGTTTGTTCTGTGTAATGCCTTTGCTAATTTATCAGGAGTAGATTCGAATTTGGGATCGTTCAATAGTTTTTGTTTTTTAATCAATTCTTGTCTAAAAATATGTGAAATATATTGAATTTTCATAAATTAATTATAATGATTAAATAGTATTACTTATATTTCTTAGCATCTTGATAGGCTTTTGTGTATACTTGATTCTTTTTTGCTTCTAGTTTTTGGAGTTTATCATTTAAATTTGGATCTATCTTTTCAGTTGAGTTTTCAATTAGTTTGTAAATACTATCCGAGTATTCTTAAAAATTATAATACATTTTTGTTAAAAATTAGTAATTATAAATAAGATAATTTTTTTATTTTCTTAATTTATAATCACCTTTTAATGACTGAGTTGCTAAATTATAAGCTTCCATTCCCAAAGAAGAATAATTAAGAATTTCCGATTCCAACTCATCTAAAGAATATTGTTTTGGCGGTAAAATTGTAATTGCTGGCTTCTGTTCTTCTGGTTCAACTAATTTTAAGATAATTTGAAAAATCGTTAAATAATTTTTAATTAAAAAATCTATTATGAATAGAATTTCTTTAGAATTTCTAAATTTAAAATATAGACTGACCTTGATGTGTTTTAGACTCAATTTTGGATTTGACAGGTTCAATCTTTTGTGAAAGTTTTTTAGCTTGATTTACAGATTCTACAACCAATAATATAATGTACAAGTTTATTAAAAACTTAACAACAATTAAAATGATAAAAAAAAAATTTGTCAACCTTCAACAATTAAAGAATTTTTCTCTTCTCCTTTTAAAATGTTTGGAATGCTAGTCGGTATTTTATGTGAAACAGATTTAACTGAAAAAAAAAATGTTATGTTTAATAGTGAGAATACATTACTAGTACATAAACATTGTATTTGAAAAATGTTGTACATACATAATATTTTTAGTAACATTGTATTATAATAAAAATGGTTGGAAATTACTATTACTAATTATAATAATTACTAATTATCAATTTTAACTTACTCTTCTCAATAGATCTGTCAAAAACATCATTTGATTGCCCTATAAATCTAAAAAAAAAGTAATAATAACTTGTATTTTTGTATTAAAAATAACCGCAATGAAAAAAAAAATGTTTTGTCTATAAATCATACTTTTCTTTCAGAGACTTCACTTGCTGGCCAACTTTGCATGCTATTCGTCCACCTAATTCTTTACTAGTTTTTAGCAAATCCTCTTCATCGAATACTTTTAAGAATTTGTCCACTCCGGGTACATTTGTAATTAATAATTCATGGAATTTAGGATCGTTTTTAGAGTAGACTACTAAACCAGCTGTCCCCAAAACACCAGTCAATAAAGTGCCAATTGAATAAAATAAAAAGCGTGATCTATAACACAACAATTTACAAAAATTGAATAACATCAAAGAAAAACATTAATTTTTTTGTATAACATTGACATACTTTGGTTTAACATCTTTAGTCGACGTATTTATAGTCTGAAAACGACCAACTGAATGTAACGTACCTACTTGTGATCGGGTTAAGGCAGAGCTGACCTGAAATCAATTATAACAAATGGCATTAATGTTTTTTTATTTATAAACTTATCACACAGGTGCTTAAAAGCATAATAAAATGGTAACTTACAGAGGTCAAATGAGGTATTCTGTACATTTTTCTTTTATTAGTAATATTTTAATATTTTTCTGTTTCTGATTTTGTCAGTGATATATCAAACTCAATATTTTTCTTGAACGATTCAAGCAATCGCCTGACGCCTATAATAAAGTAATATTACTGTATGATTAAGCCGAAAGGTTGTTGATAATGAAAATCGTATCTTATCACTGCAATTGATAAGATATCAACTTGCAAGTTGTAACGCAGACTAAATTAAGTTTAATTCTCATCTGCGCTTGTTTGGAGCTTTCAGATTAGCGCTTACAGTGTAAGATAATAAAAAGTAGTTACAGCGTACGTACAAGTTAGATTTGAATTTACACTCTAAATCGGTTGTTGAAACAAATCGTTCAAGATGGGTAAACGACAACATCAAAAGGATAAAATGTAAGTTTATTTATTATTACATTAAAAAAATTCAATTATTACCTATATAATATATTTGTTATGTTATTATGTTAGGTACCTTACGTATACAGAATGGTCAACGTTATACGGAGGTAAAAGACCTGGGATCGATAAACCGAAGTTTGCTCGATTGCCTTTTGACCATTGTTGTGTATCATTGGTCGTATTTAAAAACCCTTATTGTGATCCCGATGGAAATATCTTTGAGTATGAAGCGTTGCTTGAATATGTACAACAGTTCAAGCACAACCCAGTTACAGGAAAGGTAAACAAAACATTATTTTAAATATTAGTATAATAAATATTTTGTCAATTATAAACAAATCTTCTAAATTTTTTATTTTTAGCCAATCGAAATAAAAAAACTGACTAAGTTAAATTTCCACCGTAATGCAGCTGGAGAATATCATTGTCCGGTATTATTTAAGCAGTTGACTAAACACTCGCACATTGTTGCCATCAAAACAACTGGCAATGTGTTTTCATATGAAGCTATTGACCAGTTAAATATAAAAACAAAAAATTGGAAAGATCTATTAACAGATGAACCTTTCCAGCGTAAAGACATTATAACTCTTCAAGATCCAACAAACTTGGCAAAATTTAATATTGCCAAATTCCACCATGTTGTAAAAAAGCTTAAAGTAATAGATCCAGGTAAGTCTACAAAAAAAAAAAAATCTACTTGGTTATAATTTATTATATTATAACCGTACAGTTACCAATTTCGATTATGTTCATTTTAGAAGAAGAAGCTCAATCTAAAGATCCAGAAGGGCGTTTGAAAACTGTTTCAAAAACAACTAGGGATATATTGGATACTTTAGGCAGAGATTATAAAGAACCGGAAAAAAAAATCGAGGAAGCAATACAAAAACCAGATAAATTGAATGCTGTACGTAATTAAATTGTTCAAATTATAATTATATTTGTGTATTGTTTTAAATTAAACATTTAATTATAGGCCCATTACTCGACCGGTCATGTTGCGGCAAGTTTTACCTCCACCGCTATGGTTCCAGTATGGAAACACGAAGCAGCAATTTTAGAAGAAAATGAAATACGCTACGAACGAATTAAGAAGAAAGGTTGTAACACATTTATTTGAAATATTATTTAAAAGTTGTTTAATGTATAAGCATTAGAAGCCAAAGATTTCAGTTTTTACTACTTAAGCAAGTTAATGTGATGTGTTAGCACTTAATGTCGCTAGTTTGACATGCAGTCAGGCAGCTCCAATTTCTGTGCTAGAGACTATCTAGTAAAATGGAGTCGCCATTCCCCTCGGCCCTCAGCTCAATTTGATAGAAACCACTAATAATCCAGACATGGAATTTGTATTATGATTATTAGATTTTCGAAATTTGCCAATAGTTAAACAAAACATTTTTATGTTATTATTAAAGGAAATTAGTATATTTTGCATTTTAACTCATATATAATTTAATATTAAGAAATTAGGCTTTTTTTTTAATTTCTCAATAAGGAGCCAATAGCATTTATTAAGGCGCCATGTATAGGCAATATTTCGCTAAAACTTAGCATTAAGTTAAAATTTGTTAACATATATACTAACCCAAAAAAGACAGATCAATTTTGATATTCCATTTTTTTTTTAACTTCTATAGTCTCTATACAGGTTACATACAGGCTCTATTTTTGTACAAAAATATATGTTTCTACTATGAACAGAACATTCTTAAAATTAATCCGATTTAGGTTTTGGACAAATATTTGGATTCTTCATAACTTTTACAAAGTATCGATTGAAGAAATATTTAAAAACTATTTTTAATTAACTCAAAAAATCGCAAATGGTGTGGTGTCTTTTTAAGTAATGTTTCTAATTTCAAAATATTAATTTGTTTTTATTGTAGGTTATGTTCGTTTGGTTACCAACTATGGACAGCTCAATTTAGAATTATTTTGTCAAGAAGTTCCAAAAACATGTGAAAACTTTATTAAACTTTGTCTAAAAGATTATTATGATGGTACAATATTTCATCGGTCTATTCGTAATTTTATGGTCCAAGGCGGAGATCCAACAGGTACAGGAAAAGGTGGCGAGTCATTCTGGGGTAAACCATTCGAAGATGAATTTAAACAAAATTTATCTCACTCTGGTCGTGGTATACTATCAATGGCAAACTCTGGACCTAATACTAATAAATCTCAGTTGTGAGTTCTATACAAAAAATATTTGTTATAAAGTATGCACACTAATTTAAATGTTTTATATTATTGTCTTTATAGTTTCATTACTTACCGTTCTTGTAAACATTTGGACAACAAACATACAATCTTTGGTCGCATAGTTGGTGGTTTTGAAACTCTGAGTGCTATTGAAGAGATTGAAGTAGATAACAAAGATCGGCCAATAACTGATATAACTGTAATACGTACGCACGTCTTTATTGACCCGTATCAAGAAGTTGATGATAAAGTATATACTTATATATACATGTATATAACACATATGTTTTAAATAATGTTTATGTTTAGATTGCTGAAGAACGACAAGAAGACATAAGTAATGTCCAATCGAGCAGTCAAATGGCCAAACAAGAAGAAAGTACCATATCTAATATTGCTATACCTGGCGCAAAACTTAAAACTTACAAGTCTGGTGTTGGCAAATACATAAACCCATCCGTTTTGAAAACGACTAAGTAATTTTTATTTTTATATTTATTATAATATTCTTAAACATTATTAAATAGTAAATACTAATATATTTTTTAATTGCTTCGATTGGCTCTATTATTATGATTTGTAATTACTCTTTAAAATGGTATACCATTTGTGTTTTTCAGAACTGACAATGACGAAGTACCAAAAAAAAAGAAAAAAGATGTTGGTTATGATTTTCATAGTTTCAACAATTGGTAATTGATAAATTTGATATATTATTTATTTTTAATAATGTATTTGTAAATGTAATAAATTTATGTCCGAATATGCTTGTAAGTACAAATTTGATGTCCTTAAAAATAATTATTTCAGAACAACTGTTAATATATCAATGACAATTAAAAGTTATTTATAATTATTTTTTATTGTTTTAACAAACCCAATATGATTTTTTTTTTTTTAATACAAAAGTAATAATGAAACTTTGATCTCATATCAGATGTATTGTGTATTAAAAATTTAAAAGAATACATACTCATAACATTAGTATCTACTTTATATATGTTTCAAAGAATTCAAAGAAGTTATTTTTCACAAAAAATCGATTTCGACTAGTATTAAAATTCTGAAATTTGTATCATAAAATCAGAGACTCAAATCAAGTCTTATATTCGTCTAATAACGGGAATGGGCCGAGATTTATTTCTATTTTTTTTTTTTAGTAATGAAATTTATTTTTTCCAAATCTGAAAAAAAAATTATAATTTCAGTTTTTTTACTATAAATAATAAAATAAACCATGTCTTCGTAAAATTTGATATGATATTTGTTATATTTTAACATATTTTATTTTATTTTATACTTGATTTGAGTCTGATTTTATGATAGAAATTTCAGAATTTTAAAACTAGCCGAAATAGATTTTTTGTGAAAAATAACTTTAAAAACCTTTATTTCAGGCTTAAATGAACCACATATTTGAGAAACAACGTAAGTCCAAAAAATGTAATTAGGAGAAAACAATAAAAAACTGTTTTAACGCTACCAGTGTTGTATATCGGCGAAACTGAAAGGTCCAATGGAAAGTGCTCGTTTAGGATACACAACTTAAAAAAAAAAAAAAAAAATATTGACCTCGTTCTGGCCTTGGAGGATGCATTTGAAATTGCTGGACTTACGTCATTTCTCAAATACATGATTTTCCGTCATGCAAATGTGTGGTTTTATTACTGTAGTAAACACTCTAGACTTATGTTCATTCTGAAATACACGTAGTTAATCATAAATAGGCGTGTTTACCTATAATACTAATTTTAAAAATATTAATTTTTCACCTTTATTCCAATGATGAGTAAAAAAAAACTACTAATTTACTGCAATACAATATTTTTTATTGATAATTAATATAAATCTTGCTTTGTTAAATTTAATTTTGATGTACAGACTTAGTATTTCGAAAAAGAGAAAACAAAATTAAAAACAATGAAAAACTATCTTAAAATTAAATATTTCTCTCCAAAACGTTTACACATGATGCGTATATCAATATAAAACGTATCCCATGTGTTATCTCATTTTTCAATATTTGGTGACTTACGTTGTTTCTGTGGTTCAAATATGAGTGACATAAATTTCAAAAAATAAATATTTTATATTGATCCCAAAAAAATTTAAAAAAAAAATGTTGAGTAGGTCGAGCCGATTACCGCGTGGTTTTACTCAAAATGCCACATATAAACAAATCTTTGTTGTTTATGTTTTTTTTCTTCAATTTTTTAATTCGTCATTAACCTATTAATTTCTCTAAATATCAGGTTCAGAGGATATCAGAGTTTCGGTTAAGGGCACGAATTGTATACATACAAATCACGTTTAGTTAAATACAATTATTTGTGAATGATAAATATATTATATAACATAGTATTTTTTCAAATAAATTAATATGTATAGCGGCCTCCCGTGTAATAATATTTAATAACAATGCAAATGGACATTGTTAATTGTATATAATTAGAGCAACAATGATTTATATATATATATATATATATATATATATACAATAATTATAACAATAGGTAGTTATAATTAAAATCATACCTAATTGTCCGATGTCAAGGTCGTTTTCGAAATAATTGCACAATTTAAAAACTTGACATTGTAAAATATAATATATCTAAAACATAATATTAAATTTCCTACATTATTTATAGCTGATAAAGGTGGTACACATTACATAATAGGTAATAGGTATGAAGGTGTAATAAGCTCTGAAACAGCGATTCAGTAGGATGGAGTAAATTTGTGGTTTATAATCTTATGATATAGTACCCCCCCCCCCCCATTACGAGTATTACCTTTAATTACCATTATACTGGTTTCCTTCCATAATGTATCATAGGTATTTCTCATTACTTCGCTATATTATTATAATATACAGTAGTCAGTATATATAACGGTTACATACTATATAATATATATCAGTGATTTTCCACTTTTTTGGAAAGACTGAACATAACATCTTTTACAAAATTGTTACGGCACACCAAGTCTTATGTTTGAATAAATAACATAATTGTGGTGTAAATTTATTTTATTTTATTTATTAAAAAATATAAAAATAGTTATTTGAGATAAAAAGGCCAAATACGAACGAACTTTTGAAGGACCCCCTCGCTGAACTTTTCGATACTTGCATATCTGTCCGGATAAAATGAATGTTCTCAAATTGGTTTGGATTTTTTTTCGGTTATTTTGGTCGTGAAAATAAATATAAAAATACCCTATACGACCATAGCCAAAAATAATCGAAAAAAAAACAAAAAATTTGGCGCATTCATTTAATTGTAACAAACATGCAGGATAAGTATCGAAAATTCGTTCGTAGTAGGCGATTTTGCTAAAAAAATTAAATATTTGTAAAAAGATAAACTTTACATAAAAATTAGAAAAAACTAAGTTTTTGAGGTATTTTTTTAATGGCATATTTGAGCTTGACATATGTTACATATACTAATATACATTTAACTCTTGGACGAATAGTTGACAGAGATATACCCTCTCATTTCTTCTTCTAAATAAGTTGCTCTAGTTTCTTAGTTTTTATATTCGTAAACGCGGACAATCGCTGTTCCCAAAAATATGATGTTGAGAATGAGAAGATAATAGTCGGTGCTTTTTCAAATATTTCTAGATATTCTTCAAAAATGTATGTATGTAATGTGTTCTATATACTAAAAAATTATCTGAAAATTATTGACTAATAATATTATAGTACTGTATAAAGTAAAAGTACAAAATTTACACCATTGCCATTATGAAAAGTTTTTATTCACATGCATTGTATTGTAAGTCCGTAGTAGGAAGTAGGACAATCGAATTAAGAAAACAATTAACAATTAAATGCTTTATCGCTATGATTGTTTCATATTTACACTCAAAATACAAAGAAATCCTATTTTTGAATTATTTACGTATTACAGGATGATCCACACTTATTTTATTAGAAAATATTAGTATTTTGAAAATCGTTTTTTCCTATACTTTAGATACATATTTTACTATATTTTCCAATACTTAGAAAATGTTTACCTTCATCGTTTATACGTAAAATAAGTATGGACTTCGTTTTTTCAAATGGAAACATGTTTTATGTTACGTCTATTTATATTTGTTATCCTTTGTTTAAATGTACTTTTAATTATTATGTCAACTATGTAAATTAAAACAGCCGATTGGCGTCTATACTTAAAATTAATAAATAAATGTTTTAATTTCATTGATATGTAGATAAAAAAATGTTAGCGTTTGAATTTTTAATTTTTATTAATCTCTTCGTTTGCTATAATATTGTAAAAAATTGACTTTAAGTTTAATATTCGTTTGGTTATTACAACAGTTTTTCATTAAATATAAATATTGACCCCCTCGATAACACTGTCACCTTAACTGTGTTAGAATATTTTGATAAGGTCCTCTTGTATATCATTTCCTCAATTCTCAACACATTTCATTTTGTCTTGTTATTAGTGTTCTCGCCTATCGGACAATTCAAACATAAATATTATGAATTTTATGGACAATGGAATTTGGAAAACTGAAGACATATTATAATTATAAGGGGAAATGTTATATCTGTACAAAGTCAATCTGCACGATTCGTGCAATTTAATTTGATATAAAATGCACATAAATCATAATAAATAATAATTTATACTCATTACTCACTCAAATGTGTATTTATTTTACAATAAAACATTACATAATGTGTACTAATCTATAGCTTCTAAAAAATCCGTAATTTCGTTTTCGTCAGCGTGTTTGATTCCTGCCGCCTTAAAAAGAAGGTATAAAACACCGTTACACAAATTTAATGTACTTAGATTTACCATAAAATTTCACAATAGTCAATCGCTATAATTACTAGGGTCGTATAGGGGAATTCGGGATTAATTTCCCCCCCCCCCAAAAAAAAAAAAATTAATTAACGTTAAGAAACCTCTTCTTTACAGGTTGATAGTTGAAACGAAAACCAAAAAAACGTAACTAAATTTTGAAATCCGTCCTCAAAAATTTGGCTAAGCCTGGCGGCGTCGACTGGGGGCGCGATAAACTGAAATACGGCCGTATACACAGTTTTGTATTATTGCTTTGCTCACCCGTTCAAATTTCCTGATTTCTCTGTTATACATTTGTAGTTGCCATTCTTTAATGCTTTTGCGGTGTTTTATTTTTTCAACTTGTCTAAGCAACGCTAAGTACTCGGCACGGTCGCAAGTTGTTTCGTCGTGTTGTCTTAAGCTTTTTTCGACGCTCAACTGTTTTTTTATGCAATCCAGTTTGTGTGTTACCTCCTCTTCATGCCTGGCCAGCCTGTCCCTCAATGCATTGTACTCGACCATGCGTTCCGATATTCTGTGATTGTGCACCAGCCACCCGAGCACGGTACTCGCCAAATGGCCGTGACTTTTTAATACATTATTGATGGCGATTAAGTCTCTTAAATCCGTTTGCACAGCGTGCAGGTACCCAAAAGAGTCCTCGTCGTCCCAACCGTCGTCATACTCGGGAAACTCTACGGATTCTAAAACGGTGCACTGCGGCAAATTGTCGACCAAAGTTTTCCAAACGGTTTGATCATCAACAGCGTCTGTATCCATGGCCGGTATATTTTCAGCTTAATATGATTTAATTTCGCACTATTATAACGACTACAGGACTAACACGTCTTGTTATTCGACCGTAAAAATCAATGTCAATTGTCGTACATAGTGTAGGTATCTAGGTAGTCTCTACGAGAAAAAATAGATAAACCGTTAGTTGTATTGTAACCAGATGATGTTAGCCTTTTCTATGCGAATTATTTGTTGGGAGTTTTTTTGGCCGTAGTCAAGGTAATAAATAATTACATATCCATAGACATCGTCATCTAAATCTATATTTGCTTTTATAATACACGCAAGTCACAAAATGTCTACCAAATACCAAATAAATATTAATGTAATAATGCAATTGATAATAGGTATTAACACTCGTCGAAATTCATGTAATGACTGTGAAATGGTTAAATTGATTTTTTAAATTCTAATATTCTTAATGAAAGCATTACATATTAAGTATTAAACACTTAATTGTAAACCTATACAAGATGGGTGTTTTCGATTCAGAGTTTCTTCTGCCCATTAACCATCAATCAGTTATAACTTAAATATAATATTGTAGTATAAGCAAAATATCTTTAAAGCGTAAATAAAACAACAAGTGTTTCATGTTTGATTTATTTATCTGATGACTGTTAAATCAATCACACGTCTTAGCCAACGCATAGGTATTTTACATTCTGGACAGCGAACGAATTATTTTTAAGCATAATATTAAATATTTGTATTTTAATTTATGAGACTAATAGTCCCCAGCTTTCATATTGGTCTCCGTCTACTCACCCACTGACCTACCCCTATAATATGTTGCCCTATATAACCACAAATCACAATACATTTTACATATAGACATGCTGATCGGCAGTCGGCACCGCTGCTTAATGCAAAATAATAAAAAAATATATAATAATAATATGCAGATGTATTCATGTCTCTTTTTCAGAATGCAATTAAAACAAAATATCGTATAGAACATGAGCATAGTAATTATGCATAAGAGAAGGAATATTATGTCTATGGCATAAAACGTTTTAGATATTATAGATATTATTAATCGTGGGAAATATGTCGTGTGGACTATGGACATAAGTCATAACTATTAACTACCATCTAGATAGTAGATAATAGATATAATCGCACAACGATTATTTGAAGCCGGCAGCCATTTGTAGGTGGGGCAAAAACGATTGTGAAATATCGATACTTTTGATATTATCATAGTCAAATCTATCACTATTTAAAGATATCGATAGCTAACTACCGTTTTTGCCCCACCTTACATAAGGGCTATAGGCTTCAATAATACGCGCGAGTTTGCTATCTATATAGATACTATGTATGTGACATGAAAACCTATGACTATAATGTGACAACACTGCAAGAATTGCGTTTCCTCCCCCCCAATAATGCTGATAACGGTCAATTATCAAAGAGTTACCGGACTCGGGAGAGGAAATTTAATTTTAGATTTGCGCCGTAACGTAACGTCACTATCGTGTTGCGACTGCCGACTAGTGGACGACGTTGTAATTTCAGTTTTGAATTTAAGACGGTGTTGGGGAGTTGTGGGTTGTTCATGGTATATTCGACCGATCTCCAAGCCGTTTATATGAACCTTAGATTTTCAACCAACCGCTCAGATCTCCAGCAAAATGGACGGAAACGGAGGAGCCAGCGACGCGGCCGTTCCAATACTCGAAGAGACTTTCTATGCACTATCTAGAAAACAGTATTCATACACAGTAACATTAACTTCCAGTGGGTTGTATCTGAAGAAAAACTTCAATGGTGCAGTTAAAACTGATTTCATCCATGTCAATGACATAATCGGATGTAAATGCATGCGTAACAACGGCAAGTCTAACGACTGTGCTTGCCGTCCCGTAAAAAACACCAATGCCGCAAACTGCCAGGTACGCGTTCCTTATGACGATTCCACTGATTGCAGTGCTTACTTGTGTGTGTATGCATACATTTTAAAAAATGTCGCCATGAAAAATGAGAGACGGGACAAGATGACCGTCACGCTCAGGTTTCGCAATTACAACAATTATAACGATAATCTAAAAACTGCTCAAAAATGGAAACATTCAATTAGTTCTCTAATGAGAGCTCGTAGTGAGGGTAGAACAATAGTAGCACTTCCTGACAATCGGTATTTAGGTAAGTTGAATAACACCTATGACCATAATATTATTATAGTGCCGTAGTACAAGTAAAATCAAGCTTAAGGTAACAAATTCAAATCTGGTGTCATATTGCTATTGATTTTTTATTTACAAATGGAAAATTACATATTTAATTTCTATATTATTAGTAGGATGTTATTGCTAACCAATTGTTTATCAGTTTTAAATAATTATTTCTTCAGTTTAAAACTTTTGGTAGACTATATAATAGAAGAGAAGTAATGCTTAACATAATCTTAATAATTGATGTAGTGCTGTGGGTGAGTAGTACATATAATTTTAAAATAGTTCAAATTAGAAAACCATTAACTATAACTGGTTTTTGACCATTTAGTGTCATGTTAATAAAAACATTTTTTATTAATAAAGTACACAGTCATTTTTAAATCTATAGTTTATGAAAATATAATTAGTTAGGGAAGGGAAATTTTTTTATGCTAACTATAAAACATCTTAGGTCATTTTGTATGTATCAGAAAGCCACTCTACAAGAAAAATAATTGATTATAACTAAGTGAAATTAATCATATACTTTCTATGTAAAAAAGGTATTAAATTTGGATTACTGTACTATTTTTATATAGTCTTAAGTGTTACATTAATAGTAGAGTAAATTGTGTTAACAGATAGTGGGTTATAAACATATTTCATTCGTTATATAAATTGATTGAATGCCTCTGCCCTTTGATCAACTAGTTCATTAAACCAGATAATTTAGTGGTATTGTCTAACAACCAGTACATTGCAATTTAATCAATACATTCATTTTATTAAAATGTTTCTCAATGGTATCATTAGTTTTTGATGAGAAACTAGACTTCAATTGGTACTCATTGAACTTAAGTCTTGTGCTTTTTTTAATTAACACACAAGACAAATGATTTAAAGTGAAAGAAAAAATAGTGTAGCCAATCATAATTAAACTCTTACACTTCTATGCACAGTATTAATATTATTAAAAACTCATTTCTGCTAAAACATTGTTACTATATAATAACAAAATATGGACAAGAAGCAGATAAAAGATCTTGATAAAATAAAATGTCTGTTTCTAGTAATGAAATTAACTAATTAAATTAATAGTTATATCAATTATAATATAAGCTTGTCGAATTAATGTTTATATAAGTCGGACCCTAAATTATAAATATACAGATATTATAAAGGTTTTTTGTTTAGCCATATTTGTAATAAAATTTATACAAAATTTCATGGTGTGACATCCCAATAAGTGTAGTTTATACTACTGTGTATGTTACATAATATATAATGTGGTTCATAAAGATTAATAAAGTACACCAACCCACCGTATTTTATTTACATAAGAGTAATAAAATATCAGAACTCAATGCAATAGTTTATGACCATAACAAATATTATGGCATGATAGTTTAATATATTCATGTATTAATTATTTAAGAAAAATAATATGTGGTTACATAATATGATTTTATTTAGACATATTTTAATAGTACCTGCCTATATTTTTTTAATACAAAAAACTTTATAACACATAATATGAATATTTTCATATTTTCTAACTATACCTAGCTGGTGCCGGGTATCTTCTAATCTCTGTTCAAAGCTAAACATTGAAAATTATTGTATTTTTTATGAATATAAATTAATGATAATGTACGTACAAACTATTGTTAAAAATTATTTGCATATTGGTATTCATAATCATTTGTAGGTAATTATCAATTATGTCGATATTTGTCCTTCAGTTTTGACTTGTGTTTGCATTGTATGTTGGTTTTATGTGCCTCAGTTGTACACATTTTTCCTTTAAATTGAATATTGTGTAGTACCTATTATGTTTAAATATTAAGCTTATGTATTATAATTTTTTTTTCCAGCTAATCGTTTATTAGTAATTGTGAACCCAAAAAGTGGTGTTGGAAAAGCAAGAGAAATATTTCAACGTAAAGTAGCACCTATATTAATTATGGCTGATGTTGACTACGATTTACATATCACATGCATGCAAAATGATGCGAGGTAAATATAAACTTAAATATTTATTAGTAAACAAATTTGTCCTTCATTCAATTAAAATTAATCATAAACTTCCTCTTTATTCAACAATCATTATTTTATATTATTTTTTAAATTATTTCAATATCCTATTATCCAATTGAGTTTTTTTACTTTGTATATAAAAAAGAATGCCTTCATATGAAAATAAAAAGTTACATATTGTAAGAAATAAGAGTACATATTATTTTATTATGAAAAATAAATAGGTGTTAACATAATTTATTTGATCTTCGTTAGGCTGGAATGTAGTTTTTTATATATTATATGTACAGCCAGAATGTATTACAACTTTTTTGGTTCACGCATCCCTATAAATAAAAACAAATAATCGCGCCTCCTATGCATAAATGAATTACTAATTTGCAGTATGTATTTGTATTAATTATCGTAGAGCTAAAAATATCAATATTTACCTCGTGCCTCCCTTGAGAGGCGCGCCTCACAGTTTGGGAACAGCTGTACTATATGTTGACCCACTACTTCCAGATTTCTTTTTGTTGACAGGAATTTAGTGAGGACCAGTAATATTTACAAATGGGGTCGAGGTATAATCGTACTTGGAGGAGATGGGCTAATGTTTGAAATCATCAATGGTCTTATGGAACGCTCTGATTGGCAAAGAGCATTTGAGTATCTGACATTAGCCATTATTCCAGGTGGATCAGGCAATGGATTGGCCAAATCAATAAGTTTTGAGACCAAGTGAGAGCACAAATAGCTTTTTTCGAACGGCATTTTAAAATCAATTAGTTAATCATTTATAGTGAACCCTACACGGAGGATCCCATAGTTATATCGGCATTAAACATTGTGAGTGGTAACCGGTGTGCAATGGATTTAGTCAGAGTTGAAACTATTTCTCAGGTTGTATATTCATTTCTATCAGTCGGTTGGGGATTTATTGCTGATATTGATATTGAAAGTGAACGCCTGAGGATATTGGGTAGCCCTAGGTTCACTATTTGGACTATTGCTAGACTCATCGGTAAGCCAGAAAACATTTATACCACTAAAAAATCTAATCCAAAATGCTAGACATGAAATCATTTACAAGGAGTGTAATTCCCTTCAAATAGGTTTAAGGAGTTACCCTGCTAGATTATCGTATAATAAAATTGATAATTTGGACAGCAATATTAAAATAAATAATTTTACTGCAAGCTCATTTTACGATTGTCAAGATATCATTGACGATGGGCCTGTGTCAATCGAATTTGGAATGGATCCTGTGAGTATTGATTATGAACAAATGTATCATGCTATCATATTACATTGAAGAAAACAATATTTAAAAAAAAAAATATCTGCTTAGTTTTATAGCTTTAAGCTAGAGTGATTAGTATTTCGGTACCTAGCTTAAAACTATAAAATATTAACACTAACATCTCAGAACTAAAAAACATAACTGTTTATAATTTAATCTGGTTTCAGTAATATTGTGTCTAAAGTTATCAAATTTTACTTTTTAAATTTTCAAGCAAACAATTAAATAATTAATTGCATTTTGGTTGTGTTTAGCTTGAAGAGTTTGATTCCCGGGAACGAGTTGAAAGTTTTTCATCCGCAATCTCTAAACGTACATTTATGTCTGTTAAGGAAGCAACTAGTTTCCAATCAATACCAGATGTAGTTGAAGAGTCAGATATTTGGATACGTGGACCTGCATCAAAAATCCCTCCATTATCTGAACCTGTTCCTGCAGATTGGGAAGTTGTAGAAGGTTAGTTCTGGCATATTTTATCCTCTAAATTATAATATCTAATTTTGTATGAGTTTTTAGAAGAATTTGTGATGATACATGCTTCATATTTATCTCATATCAGCGAAGATGTATTACTAGCACCAGATTCAAAGTTAAACGATGGTGTCATATGGCTGTTAATTGTTAGAAATGGTATATCTAGAGCAAATTTTCTACAAGTATGTACCACTCAACATATAAGTAAACCTGGGCATTTTTTATTTAAATAACAAATAAAAAATAACATAATAATTTGTAAAAAATGAGTTGTTATAATTACATTTTTATATATATTTTCAAATAAATTTTTTTTTAATAATATATTTTTTCAATAACTTAGTATATGGCTGGTCCAAATAGTTATTTTTAAAATTTTATTTTATTTCTTGAACTTTTATCCAAGTTTTTTTTTATTTAAATTTGTCTATTTCTATTTAAATGGAACATATTTTAGGTTAAAATTCAAAATTGATTTAAATAATTTTTTGGTTATTGTGTAAATTAATTTTTATTTTTGCCAGGTTTGATCATAAGTACATCAATTATAATATAGATCAAATGTAATTATTTAAGAATTTGGTTAAATATTCTAAACTTTCTAAATATTTCTTCTGAATTCTAACAATGCCTAATTTTATTTTATATATTAGATTTCAATTAGTTTTTAAGAATTGTTAATTCATAATTTAAATTAAAAAAGAATATGTTTAGATTATAAAATACTAAAAAAATATTTTTTTTTAGTTTTTGCTGGCATTGTCATCAGGAACCCATTTAAATATCCCTAATGTTGAAATGGTTCCTGTCCGAGCATTTAGATTAGAACCATTGTCGGGTGGTAGCCACATTGTTGTTGATGGTGAATTACTAAAACATAGCCCAGTGCAGGCAGAAATTATGCCCGGTATTACCAATGTGTATGCTCGACAAAAATGTTCATGATAAATAATTAAGTAAATGTGGTATGAATTTTTATGACATAAGAGGATTCAGAGAATGTCCTAGTAGACCCAGGTCAACAACCTACAAAGTTAAAAAATCATTCTTATGTTATTTATTTTTTAATATACTAATGTTAACCTTCTCTTCTATTTTTTTTTAAAATTATTTTATTTATAATTTACAATTAACTTTTAATGTTACCATGTATTTTCTATTTACACAAAGAGGGACCAATTTTGGTGTAAAGGTAAATAGCATATAAATATAAAAATTAATTTATGCATTATTATATAATATAAAGTTGCAAATAGTGATATATATTTTTTCTTGCTCAATATGTTAATTACTGCTAATTATAACCAAAGAAAAAATTTGTTGTTTTGTTAAAATTATAATTATTATGTATTATATTAAAAAGTATTTCTATGTGTTGGTGTTTCAATAAATAAAGTTACCAAATAATTTATTTTATTTTATATTTGACTAACTTGACTTTTTTTTACTCCGACTGTATTATGATCTAATAGGCGTGTTTGTTGTTACACTTAATACTATTCAAGTTCTGCTTCACTGCATTTTGCGCAGGAATTTTATATGGGGGATGTCATAAATAATGTCATGTCTTTGGTATCACCACAGCATATATTTTCGATGATAAATTTTGTTTTCAATGAGTACGTAAAAGTTAGGAATGGTAGGTCAGTCACCTGAGGTAGTTCTGAAGCGTTGCGGTTTAGTCACCCTGCAACAACGACGTATGTATTTGGACGTGGTATATGTGACGAAACTAATAAAAGGCGACATTGATTGCCCTGAATTTTCCAGAAAAAATTTAATTTATAGTTCCAGTTTTTAATCCGAGAAAAACCTAACGTTTGCCCCCCCCCCTTCCAATTAAAACTATGTTTTATACAGTCCGGAGTGCCGCATCATAAATAATTGTAATTTATATAGTAATTTTGATTTTTGTTTTGATACACTTCCTAAGTTGAAATATTATATTTTTAATTAATATTTTGTAGATATTACCCTGTATTTATACCTCTCTGGGGTGTCACATATAATAAATAAATAAATAAATTTGTTAAAGTGTTTGTCAAGCATAAGCAGTTGATATTTGTCTCATCCGGTGGTAAATTATGTAACATGATGAAACAGTTGACAGCACAAGTTATCATTGATTTGATTCTTTATTACACTATTTAATTATTGTTTGATAATTATTTTATTTAATAATTATCAAAAATTAATGAGGACGATGATTTTATAATCCTAAATAGTAAGTATAGCAACATAGCAATTCTTTTCATTATCTGATATTAACTATTTGTTACTTTAACTGCGTTAAACATTTATTTCTAACAGGCAGATCAAATTAGAAGTGATAAACGTAAGTACAATTTAAAAAAAAAAATATATATATATATATAATAATTTAATTATTTCAATATAATTTTAAAGCTACTTACTAATTATACAAAGCTGTGTATGAAAGTACAAATCATTGTATAGGTTCTTCATAAAAAGATTATTTTTTAATTTATTTAACTCAAAACCAATAAATATTGTTATTATCAAAAATTTGAAATGTGCTATAATACGTAATATCAACATTAATTATTATTTTACATTATTTTTAATAAACAGTAATTTAATTTCTACTAACATATTACACCATACACAAGTTCACAAAGAAGAACTAATATAGGAAATACAAATAATTAATTCCATATCAACCAATAATCATTTAATTTTTTCTTCTTAATTGGAAGTAAGTATAATTAAGAGAATTAAATTTCACTACTTATATAAATGTGCATTGTTCCTACATTTAGTTTCAGAAATAAATAATAACTTGTCAAATTGTATTTACTACAAATTTGAGTGATTAATTAATTTTCTATTTTTAAAAAACATTGATTAAAAATAAATTAATTTACAAAGATCCACTCCAAAAAAAAATTATATATATGTACATCAATAATACAATAATAAAAATGTTATTGGTATAACTTTTGGTCAAAAATTAAAATTAAAAATAGTACAAAACGATTTTCTCTAATGAGACAATAATAATATGTAATAATTCTAGTTATGCAAAAAAAAAATTACATTAATGGATGTATAAAATGATTATTTATTCAACTTTAAAGTTGACAAATTGTTTAATAAATCTTGAATTTCAGTACTAACTCGTTCTTCGGTGTCTGAAATCTTTAATCGAGATTGGAACGCATTAAGGAGTTCAGCTTCGTCTGAGCTGCCTTGCTGTTTATCAAAATATGCAAGCAACATGTCAATTACTTGTAGTACAGTCTCTTTGATACATGAGCAAGCATCATCGTTCTTATACTGTGTCAATAATCGTAGCTTGGACTGGGCTAAGTGTAAAGGACTTCGACCATGAGCATCACAGCTACTAACATCAGTTCCTAATTGTAAAACAAAATAAATATTAGTTAATAAAATTGTATCTTTAAGGTATTCACATTTCTGGAAAATAACTCAACTTACCACCCTTCAAAAGCAATGTCACTACTTCCATGTGATGTGTACAAGCAGCCAAATGTAAGGGATTATTTCCAAGCGAGTCTTTGATATTTGGATTGGCACCATATTTTAATAACAACCTTAAATTAAATATAATGTTTTACATACAACAATCAACTATTCTCAAACTTTATCGAAAGTTCATAAGCCACTATAATTTATCATTTATTATATTTCCAAAGGATCAATTATACATACCTTACAGCTTCGGTGTAACCTTTACATGCAGCCAAATGTAAAGGTGTGCGTTTTCTGCTGTCCCAGCAATTTGGATTAACACCTGCCTTCAACATTTGTTCTAAAAGTTCTGTGTTATTTAAGGATGCTGCACGACAGAGTCTGTGACTATCTGAAATAATTTTAGAACGTTCAATTACATATTTACGTTTTACTGAGCAAATAAAATGATTTTCAATCGCTACCTCTGAAGTTAAGGACTTTTTGTCTATGTTTGATGTATCCACGACACGCATGCACGCGGCATGGACCCACATTGCTTTTCGATTGAGATGAACTACTTTGTCTATCCATTTCCAGCAACATTTCTGTATACTCTTGTATGGGAGTTAAACACTAGACAAAATTAAGTGAGCAATATTAGAAATAGTTAAAAAACCGATTGCCAAAAAGCTTACAGATTGAAATCTGTCCAATGGTCCTGGGAGTGCGGGATTGGCCAATTCGAACAGACATTTGAGCTTGCGGCCCGGAATTTCCTCAAACACGGGTTTTGCAAACACAACAGGGTCGGTGCTAATGTTTAAGCGCATAGCCATGGGTGACTTATCATTAGTTCTCGTTCTACCTGCTGGTACCAAGGCATATTCCGCTGACGATACCAGTTTCTTGCTAAGTTGAGGCTGAGCACATTCATCATTGTCTGTACTGCTTTCTACTCCCGAATCGTTGGACGTCATGGTTAGAACTGTCACGAAAATAATTACAAATTTAGTAAGTACAGACTGAAATCGTTATTTATTTTCGGTTACATTATTCTCTCTCCCGAAACTTGGTATTATTAATACAGTTATTTACGTTGTTATGCTATTCTGTTGATGTTATCAGTACACTCGTTAATGATTATCACTATCTTTGTTGTTGTAAATAAGAAATCGCGGTCGCACAGCTGATCAAATAAACTATTAACACTCAAAACTGAGAGCAGAGCTTGTATAGAGACTATTTTGTTGTTAACACCATAATATTATTATCATGGTTGATGTTTAAAACTTCACTCTTCAAATTAATTACTGCCAGCAGTTAGCTATGCCCATTGTCTTGTAATTTTATTTTCAATTTTAAAAAAAACTCAAGTCTTAACAAGGCTGTGAGTACGCTTATAGGCTATGAGGACAACAAACAGCCCAAACGTATATTTTTTAGGTTTCTTGGTTATCGTTGATAGCACTGACAAGTATAGAAACCTCTTCTGTTGTCTGGTTGCTAAAAAAATTACAGTTCTCTTTATAATGAGTCTTAAGAATAAAGTAGCTATGCAATAAGTAATCGTTAACCAATGTGTTTATTGTCAATTTTGATACATGATAGTTAAAGCTGTGGTAAAAATATTACTACTATGATTTTCTTAATCTTAATATCGTACAAAAGAAGTGACATTCATTCTTACTTATAAACAGGAGAGTATTTTTGGGGGTGGCTGAGGGGGCTCCAGCCCTCACCCGAAATTTTTTTTAGTCTGTCTATGGGCCTATATGATAAGAATTGTAAACTTTTAATATTCAAGTCAAGTAATTGTCAAGTTTTTATTATGAGTTAGTACCTCAGCCCCCTCCCAAAAAAAATATCTAAATACGTCCCTGCTTATAAATCTTACCCTTTGTATCCTTGTCCTTTAATCATTAAAATTAGGATTTTAAAACTTTACAAAGAAAAACTTATTTTCCTTTCTGTTATAAATGAATTAATGCACTTGGGCCATATATTTCTGCTATTTTACAAAATTCAACTAATTATTGTTACCTATTGAACCCATCAAAACATTTCTATTATCTTACTAAAATTTTTAAATAATTTCAATAGTTTGTGCTTTAATTATACAATTTTTAAAAGAGTAATATTTTAATAGAACCTTTAATCCAATAATATGTATTTATATTTAAGAAATCAATTCTAATTAAAAAAATATATATATATCTTACGCCAATCTATTGTTGTAAACTTTTAACTATTATTAAAATAGTAATTTGGTAAATTGTTTAAAAATAAACACGTAATAAATATGAACATGAAATTGTATATAATTTTAAATATGCTGATTAATTAATTGTCGAATAGCTGGTATCCAAGTGTTACATTGCCTCGTATGATCAACCATCAATGCCATTTGTAATCTATTTGCTTCCGCAAAATTTCCACTTTCAATTGCTAAAAAAAAGATTTGATTAAAACCATACAAAATTTATTATAGAATGTCTGATTACCTTTAACTAAAGCTACTGTTTTTTGTTGTACTACATCTGTAAACTGACTATCATTCCAACTGGACTCCAATCTGGAGAGCCGCTTACTAATATCTACCTTTTTAGGCTAAAAACATAGGTTAAATATAAAATTAAAAAAAAAAACAATAAAGAGTTGAGATTAATTACTTCTGTTAAAGATGATTTTTGAATAGATTCATTTAATGACGTTATTACATATGGTAACCTTTGTTCCACAGAAATGTCACTAGTTTGCAGTGAAGTTTCAGTTGGATTTAAAACATTACTGGCAGAGCAGTTATTTGCATTTAATAGTACTTGATTAGGTTCATCATTATGCCCAGATTCTTGAGAATTCCCAATCACTCGAGCTGGTATCCGATCAAATATTTTTGGGCGATTTTTTTGCTGAGCACTCACTGAATCTTCAAATGAATACGATGGTGGATCATTCCAGCCAGGCGTGTATGCTGAAATAAAACAATTCATTGATATTGGTTGTATTAAAATTAGTGGATGAACATTTTGACTTACGTTTAAAACCTTCAGACATTTTAATAAAAAGAACGATTAGCTTCTTTTTTATTAAAACAAATTTATTTTATTTGAAAAATGGGTAAAATAACTGTTTTTAATATGAAATTTGTTTGACCTATATTGACGGTCGGTAACTCGTAAGAAATATTTCTTAAAAAGGTAATTTAGATTTTAGGTACCAATCAATATAAAATTAATATTTGGCATTTTTTAAATAATTTGATTATATTATAATTGATAACAGAAAAAATATTATCATACATATAATCATAGAAATATACAACTTCAGTTTTGCCATGAAGTTTGGCCGCCATATGCACGGTGAGTGCTTACATTATGTTATCAATATTTCATTGTGATATTGCAGTAGTATAGTGCATCTTATAGTTTAAGACCTTATCCTAAGCCTACCTAAGTGTTTAAGAATATACAGATAAGCGGTGCTATACACAAAAACGGCGACCGATTACATGCGGGATCCCGCTGGCAACAGAGGTACCCTCATCATAATGTACCTTCCGCCCTTTCATAAATTATAACGAAGGTACCTCCGTTGCCAGCGGGATGCCACATGAAATCGGTCGCCGTTTTTGTGTATAACACCGCTTATCTGTTAGGGAATGTTTCAAAATTGTTTTGTTTAAGCTAAAGAACCTAGGAAAGCAACAATATATAATTTTCTTGTATTGACTTCTTATGTTCATAATTCATAATTTGCATTATACAAGTACTTAAAGTTTTAATTTTTAAGCAATAAACCATTAAAGGTTTTAGGAAAGTGGTAACGCAATAGCTCGTCACCAATAATAAAAAATAATAATACTCGCTCAAGTTAGTGTACACCTTATCGATATTATGCCAGATGCCTATATGAGTTTGTTAATTGCTATAGTATATACACACAATAACATTTATATCCATAGATATATATAATAAACTAGATTGCTAACTGTACATGCCACCAATAGAGAAGATTGAGGCAGCCACTTTCCGCCATTTCGGTGGGAATTAGAACCTTATCACGCGAGAATAATATATGTTTATAACAATTACATATATATATATATAATATTGATATAATTATATATACAGATGTATATTATATGCATTGATAACACACATAAATCCCACCAGAATGGCGGACCGTCAGTTTCAATTCTTATCGCTAGTTAGCTAGCAATCTAGTTTATTATATATATCTGTGTTTATATCATATATACTTATCATTCGAATGATATCATATCATATACCGAGTGGCCATTGTGAAAACAAGTAATTCAATAAGCAAAGTTTTTCTTCAAAATGTTTAAACAAAAGTCATCCTTAGGGGTTAACACGTATCACAATTAAAAAATCTAGGCTAGTTTTGCAAGAATTCAAAATTTTTCCAGTGGTTCAAGTTCGACTGAACGATTATTGGATGAAAAAAAATTGAAATGGGTAATGCTGACACTAAATTGGTGTTCAGAAAAGCTGTTGTGCAATTGACGTCGAAAACCCAAGTAAATAGCTATTATGAGAACTTATTTGCTTACACAATTACAATTGTTTGGTTGTTTTAGACTATAAGTGCAGAGGATGATGACTTTTGGAAGCAGTTTTGGTCGGAGAATGTGACTAATGTGCAAGATGTCTTCACTTTAGTACCAGCTGCTGAAATTCGGCTACTTAGGGAAGACATGCCAGCTAATCTTGCAACATTATGTTACAAGGCAGTAGAAAAGTTTGTAAAGGCTGTGGAGAATAGCTGCCGTACCCAGCAAGATCAAAATACAGGTATAGAATAAAAATAGTTCTTATACATTTATGTATTTTTAGTACGTGATTGGTACTAACCTATAGGCCATAAGTTTTTTGATAACTTGTTAATATTATCTTGCATTCATGATGTCAACAGTTTTGAATTGCTCTCGGCTGTTAACACGAGTTCTTCCTTATATTTTTGAAGATCCAGATTGGGAAAATATATTTTGGTCGAGCCTGCCAGCCGGTAAAGGAGATCCTCCTATACCATTAGCCCATTCTCTTTGCAGTGCTATTTGTGTAATTAATTTTTAGTTTGTTCAGTTAATTATTTATTTTAAAAACCTATTAATTATTATATTTTTAGGATTTATTATTTTGTCCAGATTTTACAGTTACTCCTGTTCGTAAAAATTGCCCAGTAAGTAGACATAATGTTGTTTATTTTTTTTTATTTTTAAAATAAATTTACTACTCTCTTTAGGACAAAGCAGAAGATTTACAAGTTGTTGATAGCTGTGAATACATTTGGGAAAAAGGTGTTGGTTTTGCCCAGTCACCTGTCAAAAATGCTGCATTTGAATCAAATCGAACTGAACTTCTTCGTTTGTTATTAACATGCTTCAGTCAGGCTATATATTCCCCCCAACAAAGTAATTTACTATTTAAAAATAAATTTTTTTAAGATTTTACATAGTAGTTTCAGTGTAATCTCATAAAAATAATTATTTATATTAGTTTTTTTTTGTATTATATGTATAATCTAACTAGCATTTATATTTGTAGATGGTAACAGATGGGTTCAATATGTTACTTCAGCTTCTAACCGTCACGCATTGCCTATGCTTACATCGCTCTTAAATACAGTTTGTGGATATGACCCGATTGGCATGGGACTTCCATACAACCATCTTCTGTTTGCTGACACAACTGAACCACTAGTTGATGTTTGTTTACAAATTCTCATTGTTGCTTTAGATTCTGACGTACAGCAGGTAATTAGTTTGAACTGAAAAATCAAAATTCTTACTAATTTGTTCATACGTATATTACTTGCTTATAATATACAGAGCGATGAAGCATCCATCGATAATTTATTCATCAATTATTTATCGCGTGTTCATCGAGATGAAGATTTTGCATTCATTTTGAATGGATTCACAAGACTGTTGACGAATCCCTTACGACAAACATACCTTCCAAATTCTACAAAGAAAGTGCAGTTTCATCAAGAGTTATTAATATTTTTTTGGAAAATATGCGAGTTTAACAAAGTAAGTAGATTTTAGCTTTAATACAATGATGTGAAGGTGTTGTTTATTTTAGTAATATTTATATAAAATGTTATTATTTTAATTCTTTATCTTGCAGAAATTTTTATATTTTGTATTGAAAAGCAGTGACGTTCTTGATGTGTTAGTTCCAATTTTATATCATTTAAATGATTCTAGAGCTGATCAATGTAAGTAACTATTTTCTCATATTGACTATCTATCATCATCATCATGTAAGCTTAACAGGCCTTGATGGCCCAATGCTGCTATCATGAGATGATGGTTTCTAAACGAATTCACTGTCCAGGACGGGTCGTCAGTCTATCGCTGGAGATGGCATGGCGGCTCCTTTTTACTAGACAATTTCTTGTCCGGCAAACAGAGCGCCTGTGACAGTGTCGAACCGGCAACAGTGAGCGACAAACACACTGACGCTTTACCCACTCAGCCACCTCAAGTATTGACTAGTTATATGATTCTATATTTTTTTTTAACATAAACTTTAGCTCGAATTGGTCTCATGCATATTGGAGTGTTTATATTGTTGCTATTGAGTGGAGAACGGAACTTTGGAGTACGTCTAAATAAACCATACACGTCAACGATACCAATGGATATCCCAGTTTTCAGTGGTACACACGCAGATCTACTCATTGTTGTATTTCATAAAATCATAACTACCGGTCACAATAGAATGCAACCTCTTTTTGATTGCTTATTGACTATTTTAGTAAACGGTTTGTACATATATTGGTTTGTTTAAAAAATAGTTTTTGTAAAATCCAAACTTAAAATTTGTAACTAATATCATTTTTTTAGTATCTCCTTATTTGAAGACGCTGTCGATGGTTTCAAGTACTAAACTTCTACACTTAGTGGAAGCGTTTACAACCCCTTGGTTTTTGTTCTCGTCTCCATCTGCTAATCACTTGGTGTTTTTTTTGTTGGAAATATTCAATAATATCATTCAATATCAATTTGACGGTTTGTGAAATCCCCGAAAAATGTCTTGGTAATATTATCTTATTTTCTCAAGTATTTCAGGTAATTCAAATTTGGTTTACACAATTATACGCAAAAGACAAGTGTTTCATAGCTTAGCTAATCTACCTTCAGATTATAACACAATCGCTAAGTCGGTAACAAAAAAATCAAAACGAAGTTTAGAGGTCATAAGTCCAGTCAATCTTATGGTTACTGAAATGCCTAGTATGGAAGGCTCTACTCCAGCGTTGCCGGCTGAGCCAGGAACTCTTAATGCTACCTTACCTGATACTCCTGGTAAAACTAAAACAATTGAATGCTTATCGTAAAGATAAATAACAAATATTAACACTATCAATAATTATTAAATAACAATGTATCTTGACTGCTTTTACTAACCGGGTGTAATGTGTCTGTGATGTCAGGGGTAATGAAAATTACTGAACGTGAAAGTGCTCATCCCGGCAATGTAACTTTACCCGCTGAATTAGTTACGTCTAATGGCATAACTAAAGAATTTGTGAGTCAACCTTCTAACCAAGAAGACTGTTCCCCCAAGACACCTTCGCCTAAGGTTTTACTTTTATTTTTTTATAATATTAATGAACTTGTATAATATGTTACTAATGTTAATGGATGTTACAAACCCCTTTTGTAGCATTTAAATTATTTGTATTTAAGCAATTGTATTATATTATAATTGTAAAACAAAACATTTTTTACTACAACATTCTCTCATGTTTAGAAAACAAATACAAATTATTTATTGATTAATCTTAAATATTTGTTACATAGTAAATGTATAATAAGTACAAATAATTTTATCTGGTCTACTATAATTAAAAAAACAATGCATAATGCTTACATATATGCTTGGGTTTTGATGAATATCCAGTTTTAAATGTATCTACTGCATGCTACTTCAATTCTACGCGAAGAGGGAAATGTTAAATACATACACAGTGATCAGTTTGAAAAGATCCATTCATTTTCACAGAAAATGATTGCAATTTTTTAGATACAATTTTACATTAGGAGTAATTCGCTGATCATTTTGAATGGTCACTAACCAGTTTTATGTAATAGTTATTTTAGACTTACTTAAGTTTAAAAGTTAAGACAGGAGGAAGAGATTAAAGTATTATTTTTATCTACGACATTACTTTACTGTATATTTAGCTTTAAACCAAATATTTAATGTTGGTTATTAACCTGTCAAAATACTCATAGTTGATAACATGTATTTAAGTTTCAAAAATCAAAAGTTCATTACACTGAATGATACCAAAAGGTAAATATTTAGATATTTTATAATATTGTAAAATAAGAAAAATGTTGGTTTAAGTAAATAACTACAAGATTGCAATTATTTTACAAGAAAATGAGTGGATTACCTAAAGTTAACTATTCTGTATTTTGATTGTAACCTTTTTTTTATTTTAAATGATCTATAAAAGTTTGCTTCAATAAAGTATAACAAACTATAATATACACTATAATTAATTCATTGTGGTAACTGTTTACATGTAAAATAGAAATGAGCATTACATTTTAATGGTGGCTTGTTACTCATAATAGATAATTATAATTTCATAAAAACATAACATAACTGTTTATTAACGTTTTGTTAATCAAGGATGATTCCGAATGGACACCAACCGCTGAATGGGTACGATCATGGAAAGAAAAGCTACCATTGCAAACAATAATGAGATTGCTGCAAGTGCTTGTACCTCAAGTAGAAAAAATATGTATTGATAAGTAAGTCACGCCATTCACATATCCCAAACAATATTTTAATTAAAATGTCATATCTGATTGTTGTAGAGGTCTGACAGACGAAAGTGAAATATTAAAATTTTTGCAACATGGAACTTTAGTAGGACTTTTACCTGTACCCCATCCGATCCTAATTCGAAAGTATCAGTCCAATCCTGGGACGACTGCTTGGTTTCGAACATACATGTGGGCAGTGTTATTTTTAAGGTAATGTGACTAACGAAAAGCCACCATTATATTGTAATTTTTACATGAATCATTTTTTTTTTTTATAGAAATGTTGATCCTCCTATTTGGTTTGATACTGAAGTGAAATTGTTTGAAATACAACGCGTGTAAACAAGTCACAATTTTTTTGATTATGATAATGTTAGTTTGTAACAATGGAAGTTTATATTTATTTTTGTGTGGATGTTTACTGTTCTTTTTTTTAACTAGCTCAAGTTTTAGCTTCATATAATGAATAAAATTAAATTAAAAACACTAATTTGAATGGACTTTGTTTTTAAACCATTACACAATTAATTTAAACGGCCGTTGTGTCTTGATTAAAAATGTTCTAAAATAAAAAGAAACAAAGATTGTTCAATGTTATTTTTGAGCGTTTAATTTTAGGTCTCTTAACAATTTCGGAAGCAAACAAATGGAAATTTTTGTTATAATAAATAAATATGCATTTAATAAAATATATACTTTATAACATAGTTACATGTCATTAAATTGGAATAATTTACTTTACATTAATGAGTCTTAACTATTTTTATGTATAATCATACAAATGACAATAACAACACTCTTCATTTGTCTAATTTATTATAGCCACACATATTAAATTATTAAGTTCGATTAGTACAAAAATTAATTTATTTTTCCTCTTTTTTATCTTTTAATATAGAGTTCATATTTATTAATCAATATTTTAAAATATGTAAATTGTTATTTATAAAGTTTTTTTTATGTAAATAAATATATAACTACATATAATTATGAATATTACTAATTTTGAAAACTACAATATTTTGTTTACATATATATTATAAGAGTTATGAAGGAACATAACTCGTATTTTTTACATCACCTCTTTTTATGGCGAAGGAGTAGCCGAATATATTAAGGCGGCGGTGCTGGCGCACATCGCTGCAGGTTCGAATTTGGCCACGAGCGGTCTAGCTCACTTACCATGGCAACCTATTTAAGAGAACAGTCTGCCTAGCTTCTTTAAGCATGGCAGAAATGTCATACACCACCTGGTAACCGACCTAGGTCCAAATAGAACCTACTCCCAGCCAAATATGGGCTATAAGCTAAATAAATAAGCTCTCTTCGTCATAACCCTTACTCAAATTAATAAAAGTTAATTAATAAATACTTGGTAAATAAGTAAATAAATGTAGATGAATCAATATTTTTGCTATCATTTTAATTTGTTATTAAATCATAGCAGAGTAAGGAAAAATCTAGAAGCGAGTAATAAACATAAAACAAAACAGCGTTTAAATTTGGAACCATAAAATATTATAATTGTTCATTTTATAAAATATCATTACAAATTAAAATAATAACAAAGGTATGGGAAAACAAAATTTGGATACAAGTATAACAATCAAGTGATTGGTACACAATAGTTTTTTGGTTTTGTTACACAATAGTTTGTGCGTTCTTTTTTTTTAGGAAGAAAAAAAAAATATATATAATATATATATACTATATTGTGCGCTATTATAATATTAAATCATCATCATTTTTTTTTGTACTCGCTATTTAAATAAATAAATTTAACACAATGTAAATATAATAGGTAATAATAATAACAAAAACAGATCTAAAGTGATGTATCTTGTTCAGAGCTTTCATAAAAAAAAACTTAAATTATAATTATGAACTTAAGAAAAATAAAAAATTAAACAAATTAGAGAGCTTTTTGGTGAAAATTCAGATCATTTGTCATAAGACTGTTAAGTTTAACATTTTACTTTTAGCTAATATAAGAATATTGTTGGCCATTGTTGATGACGAGTCTCTGACACAATGACTTAGCATGCATCATTACATTACTTAAAATATTATTACATCTATTGCATAATAACAAATAGTAGTATTTTTTTTTTTTACACAATGATAATTTTGTTAACTCCGCTCACCAACACAATATTGAGAGATTCAAAAAATTATAACCATAATAATAATATATATATATGTTATATACTAATCTAAGTATTTTTTGTTCAACGTTATTCTATTTTGCGTTTTTACATGAGAATTAGAAAACAAAAATGACGTACAAATAAAAAAAAATGTCCTACATTAATAATAGACTATACAAAAAATATTTGGTTGTTCAGGGGAGGGGGCAGATTGGGTCATTTTGGTATTACGATTTATACAACAGCAAAAATAAAAAGTATCCTAAAAAATAACATTTTGATAAATAATTACAAAAATTAAAATTTGTATACTCATAAGTTTAAATTGATGAATAAAATATTCTACTGTATGTATATGGCTGCCGTTTCTTTTTTAAATATAACATCGCTTGGTTAAGACTGTTTTCTTGGATATAACATGTAATAATAATCAGTACGGGGTGAATCGGTTGTAGCCACTTCTGTACATTGGCTAGAAAAAAAAGTTAAATAAACAATTAACTGGTAGTTTAAAATAAAAATATTCAATTTATTTAAACGATACCTGAATGAATTATTAGTGAAATATAAACTATTTACAGAGACAATAAAATATCAAATTGCCATTGATATTTTATTGAAATCATAAAATATATCAACATGTAATAAGAACTGATAGTCCGTTATACAATAGTAAAACGTACATAAGATAAAGGCATAAGGTTTTCGTTACACATATAAAAACATAAAAAAATTTTAACTGCTTTTTTTTAGGCCGTCGTTCAAGTACAAAATGTGTCATTTTTAATAACAATAGTTTAAAACAATAATAGGTGACATGAATTAAATATTGTTATACTAACCCCATATCCAGTAACCGGACCGATACCGTGGCTAGCTAAGTATGAATCTGCAGTAGTGTATTCACGCCCAGTATATCTGTTATAATAAAAAATAGAAAAACATTGAAATATGAGTATTTTGATATGTTACGTGAGTTTTGAGAATAAAAAGAAAAACACACTAGTTCTATCATGAGGGAAAAAATTAAAATTAAAAAATTAAAAATTGTTAGAAAAATAACGTCAATCTTTTGAAATAAAAATGGGTAGAAATTATATATTTGTTTAAAAACCATAATAATAATAATCGAGAAATATGTGTTCTTTAATATACTTGAGGCATTCTTTTATGAAATAATTATAATAATAGGTACAAATTAAATTCACGCAACACGAAAAAAAGTGAATGCAGCGATTACTGAACCAAAAAGGCAAACATTAAACAATAAACGATAACTAATAGATGTCTAAAGAAATTAAAACAATAAGCTACAAAGCGAAATAAACAAACGAATAAACAAAAATAATAGAAGCTTATCACTACAATACAATAAAAACTTATAATTTTCGCATGCACATATATATTTTATTAATAACACTACAAGTAAATATTACTATGATCAATTAAACCGTGAACGCCAACAACAAATTACATATAATTATATAATTTATTACACCACGGGGGACGGGGGGTTGTTTAAATTTATGATACACTTTTTTTGCATTTCAAGTATAGAATCCTAGTGGAACCGCGTGCAAAGGGTAGGCATTTGTGGACTCGATATTTGTGAAGTTAGTTATTCGTTTGATTTTTAAATAACAATTTACAGTGGCGCCGATTGAGGGATTTGGGAGTATTTCAGTGGCGACATAAATACAGAAGGAAGTATTATTGTTATTGAATCCTTTCATAAATATAACGTATGAAAGTTAAAAAAAAAATGGACTATGGCGGCTAAATCTGTTTACGAAAAAATCAACGTTATCTGGGGCGATCTGATTATTTTTTTAATTAATTGCAATACGACAATTTAACGTTTAAATGATCATGGTAACATATTGACTTGTCGGACCCCCAATTGCTTCTTAAAAAAAAAATTATAAAAAAGAAAAAAAAAAATGTTAAACTTAGACGAGGCGTGATCGTCGGTCTCACCCAGCTGGCAATGCCGTGTACGTAGCAGCGGCCGGATTGGCCATCGGATTGTTGGCGGCCGCGGCCGCTGCGTTGTACGCTCTGGCCGCGGCGGCCGTGTACGTGGCGGCCGCTACATAGGACGCCTGTTGCGCCTGTGCCACCGCTGCGGCCGACGACAGAGCTGGAGTCCCTTGGGCTGCGGCTGCGGCCTTAAGCAGGGGCGACGCGGCTGCAGCTGCGGCAGCTACCTGTTTTCGGAACGATTAGTAAAAAAAAAAAAACATCAAAGTTACATTAGGAAAAAAAATGCAAGGCACAAACATGTGGGCGCGTTATATTGTACCGAAATCAAACAAGCATTATTTAATATTATTATTAAATGATTAAATCGAGTAGAAAAAATAATACATATATATATATAGATGTTGATTAAAGAATTATATACGTATTAATATAGTAATACCATTATTATTGTTTTTTTTTGTAATTTGTGCAAGTTATTTTATTGGATATACAATAAAAATTAATATAAACATGACATTTAACTTTTCTTTTTGTTTTGTTAATATAATATGCACCCTTGAATCGTATAAAACAAATTACTGTAGGCGTTATTCAGACACGTGTTCTGATTGATATAATTTAAACGAACACATTACGTTGAATTTTTTATATATCAACACCATAGAAGAATACTTTCGCGACATTTCCCGGTCGATTGATAGGCGAAAGACGCAATCTAAAATTTAATGATGGTTTTTTTGTTTGTAACCGAAATCATTATTTGTCCTAGTTCGATTAGGAAGATGATTTAACGCAGTCCTAAAAAACTGTATTAATGTAAACTTGTGTAAATATATTTTAAACGGAATGATATTTTTGAAAATCACCAGGTGTTATCTGGGATATTCGCATTAGCTATCATCAGAAAATAGAAGGCCCACAGTGGAACCATGGTCCCATAAAACATTTTTTTAAATTATATTTTGTCATGCATAGGTTAGCTGTATGTTTAGCTAATAGGTGATAGGTGTGAATATATGTGGCATATCGCCTAAATATAATGAAATCAAGTACCATTAAAACAGAAATAGAAATAATAGAGGCAAATTTCTAGCAATACGAAAAGTAAGAGAAATCATTATCATTATTAATATTATTATTGGTATCGTTAATAACTATTACAATTACGATAAATATTCAGTTGCCAAAAGTAAAAAAAAAACTACTTAGTATGAATTATATTTTATAGATTATAATACCTATTACCACCCGATTCAATTAAATTATGTAAATAAAAAAAACAGTATGAAACGCTACAAGCATAACTTTCTGTCTACGTTATTATAGTATAAATATAATATCATATCCCTATTATAAAACAGCCAATACACAACAATACGTTTGTGTATAATATGTATAATACATTAGGGATGAGACTGAAAAAATACCGAATCTGGAAACTAAAAAGTGCACATCACTATTATTAGTTTTTCGTGATTATGCTCAAATGTAATAAGTTGACAACAAATTAATATGGATGTTTTGGTTAAATTTTTAACAGTTTTATAAATTATGTCTTTTAAACTTTTTCATTTATCTTTCGTGTTTTTCAAATGATTCTGTTATACAGAAAAAAAAAATGTTTTTATAAGGACAGTTGTAGTCTCATCCCTCTATATGGATACATACATGTATAATAGATTATAGAAAAAGAAACATCCAACAGGCAACCCAAATTACCAAAAACAGTTATAAATCGTAATTAATGTACGACGCACATCATATACATATTATACACGTGCTTGTGGTGTACACATGTAAGTTTTATGTTAAATAATAATAATAATAGTAATAATAATAAAAAAATCAAATAAATAACTAAAAACAAAGATCAACCAATTTGTTAACGCATCAAATACTATTTAACCTGTAGTTCTTTGTATGTAAAAATATATATAAATATAGTTAGCGCGTGAGTTGTGCTCATACGTCAAATAAGTAAATTATTTTATGTTCGTCACATGCAAAATTATTTATTCGACTTTCGTCCAAAGTTTTTTTTTGTTTAAGGCTGCATTTCACTATAATATTATAAAATATAACTCTTCACAAACAAATCCGCCACCGTAAATAAACAAAACGCTAAAATTAATTATGTTGCACAGTCTTATTGTTATTACCAATCATAACGTAAAAAAAAAAAAAAATTCTAACTTAGAAATGTTTAAATACTCAACTGTGGCCAATTATTGCCAACCGCTGGTAGTGACACATTTTCACATTAATCGTGTTGTTTGAAATATTTAACGATCGATATGAATAATCATTTTTCACCCTTTCATTCTAGACACTAACAATATATCAGTAAATAATATTATGTTTAACCATTATAATAAGAGTTTAAACATGTTATTTTTGTCATCTTAGGTACAAATATAATAAAAAGTCGTCCCTTTATTAGTTTTGGTCCACCGATTCAAATAACACACAAACACAAAATTGTTAAATCATAATAGAAGTTCTAAAATCGGTAAACTGTACATCGGGTTTTGAATATTTTACTTTTTTTTAACCAAATTGACGCAAAATATTATAATCTAAAGAAACAAATACAAATTCAGTTTTTCACACGCATTAAAAAAAAAAAAGAAATTCATACAAAAATAAACTGAAAATAACTATAATATTAAGTACCTAGAGACTTTTTTTCCACAGAATTTATTTGATAGAGTAGGTATTGTTTCCCTTTTATAAATTATAATTTTAATTATAAATTCCTGTATAAAACCAACAATAATAACATAATATATAAAAACTATGTATCTACATCATATATCGTAAATTTTCATGTAATCAGGAGAGAAAAACATCCGTGAAATTATGAAGACCCCGCATTCGAGTATAATTTTTATTGTAATAATAAAGATTAAAAAACATAATTGTTTTTTATACAATTTCTAAAACAAAAATCACAGGATTCAAAGACTGTGCAAAACAAAACAAAAACGTGTTAATAAAATAGATTAGCGCTCTACATATTATACTATTATGTATGTAACAGATTAGTAAGTATGTAATCAAATGTGGAGAAAATTCCGAACAGTCAGAATTTGTTGTTAATACTGCATTAATATTATAGGTATGTACAAACATTAATTTATAACCGCATATAAATACAAAACAAATTTGCCAATACACCGATCTCTCAGTGCACATCTACAATGTAAAATAATATATAAATATACGTTATAAGCGGTGATGTCAAGAATAAAGGCCGGTCATGCCATTCGCGTCATGTTTTTGTTTTTGGTTTATATATTTTTTTTTTAGGTACAAAAAGACTCACGTTATAGCTCCCTTTCGGACTTTCGTAATCCGTTACACACATAAGAGGTTTTTTTTTTAACGAATTTTGAGAATGACGACTTGGTGGATAGCGTTGATCGAATATTAATATAATAATACAAGTAGGAACGTAAGAGGTCGAGTCGAAAACGTGTTAACAAAACATTTCAAATAAGTATGATAAGAAACAAGAAGGATGATGGGAAAAAGAATTAATCATTTGTGATTATACTATATGAATCGTCATTTACCTCATTGACTGCTCCTGCCTGAAAAATAAATACCAACACCAGTTCAACTAATTCTCATTTATCGGCACACCTTTTATCTAGTTTTCTATTTTATAATTGGCTGTTATGGTTTAAAAAATATAAAACCCTTTTTTTGTAGAGTAAAGCTATCAAATAAAAACAAAAAAATAAAACGACGGGAGTAGCACAATAAAATATAAATGATAAATTTTAAAAATCATGGTAAAAAAATAGGGCAATTGCCCAGATTGTCGAAGAACTTAATTTTTTTTTTTAATTTAACACATAAGGTGTTCGCTCTTAAAACATGTATAGCGTAATAGGTATGAATAACATATTACCGGTTGAAAAGAAAAATATATTATAAGTAATTAAAAAATTAATAAAATTACCTGTAACCTGTAGTTACTGTCTGCAGCTTGAGCTGCCAGGAATGGATCATAGTAAACTCCGCTGAAACACATTTTACTGATGGTCAAAATGAAAAGCCGTAAGTATGAAGTTACAGTTTTTCTCAGATTTTCAACAATGTTTTGGGGTAGTTAAACTTAATAATAATATTAGGTAATAATAAAATCTAATGGACAGCATAGGTACACCATCCGATAATATACTGTTTTGTGAGTGAAGCACGTTTATTAAAAATTCATACATTATTACTATAGTGTAAGGATAGCGCACGAAATGTCGCCACCGACTGCATTATTAATACTATAATATCATAGTTTGTTGTCACAATACAACAACATAAGGAATTTGTAAAACAGTAGCGTGTCCAGTTATGATTTTAGGATAATTAATAAAAAAATCGTGTTTTATTATACCACTTGCAATATTCAATAGACATGTATACCATGATATGGTGAGTTTTGTCCTCGTCAGTTGTTAAATTGGGAGAACGATTTGTAAATAGTACTACCGTCAATAATACCCAATACTTTTCCAAGCGCTTCATTAAAATTAAATAAGAAATGTGATGCCCTTACCCTTACACCTCTCCGCCACAGGTCCGCCCACGCAGTTAGACAAACAATTTTTATGACGTTACGTTAATAAAAAATAATAAATTCAAGAGATTTCTGAAATTTTTTTTTTAAAAACGAGCTATATATACCCTTTGCGGAGAGCTTATAATCATCACGGACGGATGGATCATGTAATTAAAAATAAACGAAATCACTAATGGAAGCCAAGTGACATCCAAACTGGTTTCACGCGATAGAACGGGAATTGAGAATTTATTTCACAAGCTCAAACTGCGTTCTCATTTAGGAAACAGAAACACTATGTTGACGGCCACAAAGAATATTGACCGTATTTTTATGGGGGTCGTCTCCGAAGCGGCTACAACAACGTTGCGCTGGGTAATGTGTTATATCAGCACACGGTGATAACTATCAAGTTCAAAACTAGCAAAACCAGTTGTTTCCAGTGCACGAGACAGAGCGAACGCGCGCATGGTGTACTTACATATTTTTTATGCCGTTGGCCAGGCAGCATAAAACTTTCATTAGGTTATCGAGATAAAAAATGTAAAAAAGAAATGTATTATCACTACAACTCTGCGGACGATGCAAGTAGACTATTACTAAAAATAGGGGGGGGGGAAATAATAAAAGTAGTGCCTTTATTTTGGTAATAATATATACTACAAAGAGACTTCAACAGACTATGCCACAAAACCAATAATCACTGGACATTGACCATCAAGGATACATGTCTATATATTTTATTACGAGGATGCACATTCTCGTGTTTTAGAACGATGCACACGAAGATATGAGTTCTATCGGCCATATAATAGTATTGTTATTATTATGCAGCACACAGCAATACAGAAAACAATTCAAGATAAAAAAAAAATATTTAATTGATTTAATACTACACATCCTAAATAGAAGAGTACTATCAAAAATGTATTGTATTATTTACACGGGTAATTTCTAAAAAGAAAATATATTTGTATGTTTTTATTCACGAAATATAATAGATAAATAGTATTATAGTAAAACCGAATAAATAATTTATTTTTTTTTACTATTCGAAATACGATGAAAATATATTAGTCATACGGGACAAATATAAAACCGTTTATTGATCCTATTCACTGTTGAATAGATATAATCTGAACGAAATTATACTAAAAATGATTTGAACTGGGATAGTTGAGCAATAACGAATGAGGTCGGTGGAGATTGTGTAACAATAATATAATATAATGTTTTGTTAAGAGGTCGCCACACGTTCTATTAATTAGACGTTAGGTTAGAGTTATATACCGTTTAAATAACAACTACTATGTACTTGCACCTAATTAACATGCGTCCTAAAATTACATCTGTGTGACATCCTCTTGTAGATATTTGCTTATTAAGTACTACACATAACATACGTTTGTGAAACTAATATAACGATGATATCAACTCACGGGGCATAGCTACCAGAAGCTGCATTGATAGCCTGCAATTGGTTGGGTGTAACGGCGATACTGGTAGCTGGTAGTCTGGCAGCGTTGAATCCAGGAGCACCAGCAGATGAGAAGCCCCCGTTAGATGCTGCGGCTACTGCCGCCATAGCTGCAGCGTTTCGAACCGCATTCGCTGCTGCTACAGCTCGACCACGTTGTATAGCCGCTCCTCTTAACGCGGCTGCAGCAGCTGAATTGAATGACGAAACACGTTATAAGTTAAACGTTAAAGACAAAAAAAAAAAAAAAAATAGTAATGCTTATTCATAATTATCGTCATGCTCTCTGAAAGTAACCAACTACTCGACTAAACAATTATTAAAGAAAAATTATATTTTTGTTTAACAGACGACTATTTAATGAATGATAATTGTTTTAAATAAAACATCCAGTATTATTTGAGTTAAGTATTTTAGCACAGATTTTGAGAAGAAAATAATTAGTCGGTAATATATTGGTTAACATTTGTGTGGGCGTTTTAACTGTATTCACATTATTTACACGACTTGAGAATGCTCCGTAACCTCCGAGATGGAAGATACGATACTTTCAAAACATTAGCAGACAAGTCAACTCGTATAAATAAGGGAATATCATTAAATCGTAAAGTTCACACACAAATAGTCAATAGTTTTCTGATATAAAATAGTATTACTTTTTAATCATGCTGTTATTTAAAATTATAACTATCAATAATTCATTACAAAATATATTCGGCTAATCGACAAAACTATAGGATTAAAAAATATTAGTGAATGCAAACTAATTTTTAGACAATTTATGATGCACTGATTACTTACCCTCAGGCCACTGAACACAAACTGCAAACCACAACAAGAACAAACCAAAAGTTAGCCAATACTTAATTAATTTACCATACAATATTTACAATATCCTAGTGCAATTATTAAAAGCGCAAGAACTAGAACATAATTTAATAGCGTGTGCTTGAAAAATTCCCAAATAACCAGTAGTTAAAATTGTATAAAATATAATCTTCTCAATAAACGTAGTAATATATGTGTAATTAATCATATATAATACATAATTATAGTGTATATTTTAATTTATCATATTTATAATAATACAAAACACATGCATCAACAAATTATAATTTTTTTGTAAGATTGCTATTTTTTATAGCACAAAACATTGACGTAATATATGTTAACTACAAATTAAGCTTCAAAAACACTATGATTTACATTTTGAAAACATGCACTAGTTTTACAAATAGTTTCTCACCAAGATTTGGCAATACTCCGTTCCTAGAGAGTAATACTATTGAAACCAACCAAAAGACATAACAATGTTTAAACACCATGTAAGAAAAACTCTATGATGATAGTTTTAAAAATGTTGGTTTCAAAAACCGCACTATTTTCTACCTTAGTAAATTAACTAAAAATTAATACTTAAAAAAACCACCTACGTTAAATACCTAATCCATTAAGTTGTTAGTCAACTCATATCATCAAATTTATAATAGTAAAATAGTAATAATAAAAATTGTGTTTTCATTTTTTAACAAATATTATAAATGGCCAAAAGAATATTTTAAAGCAAACAGCAAGTGATGAAAGCTATCAGTGAGTATACTCTGTGTACACAAAAAAGTATAGCGATCTGTCGACGCTCCTAAGTCGAACGAGAAACGGCACTTCAGCCCTTTGTTTATCCAAACTGAAGTGTTGTTTTTCGTTTGCTTTTTGAAGGAACGTCGATGTGTTGTATTTTATGATGTTAAGTGTAATGTATTTAGAACCTAACTTATAAATTTAAATGTATCCTCATTTTATAATTTAAAACAAGTGTACTCACCATTAGGTAATTGTATCGGAGCAGCCACTTTTTTTGTTTGTACTCTAGCCGTCGCATTGTTTACCTATCAGATTAAAAAAAAATAGTTAAAAAGATATACTTTAGAGTTAATAAAAAAAAACAAACAATGTACAGCTTTCATATGTCCAGTCTAATAACTAAATTTAAAATAATTAAGTACAATACACTTAATTTAATGCCTAAGAGTACAACACAATTAATACACAAAGTATGACAATGAAATCGCAACTTTTTGCGTTAACACACAGTAATTGTTTACCACACTGTTGCAATTTCATTACTTACACAGTTTTATTAAACTTAAATAATTTTTTTTTTTAAAACAACCGCTATCGTTATATTACAATAGTGTGTGGTTTAGTCTAACATACTTACTCGCCGTCAACGACATAATACACAACTTGTGCCAGAATCTTGGGGGCAGTTGCATCTGGTTTAAATTGACTGATCAGCAAAGAAATGTCAAATAATCTGACGAACCTCACTTTGAAACACAAAAAAGAAGAAAGGCTTGACACGAGACCTCTATATAGTGTTTGTAACCTACAATCAATTTTGGCCTTCGGAAATACGTAGATAATAGTCAGAAGGTATTGTTTATTTATTTATTTATTTATTGTAATTTATTTAATTTTAGAATATGTGAAAGTATACTAAAAAAACAAGGGGTATATTATTTACTGTTTGATGTTTGTCAAAGAATAACTTATCGAGGAATACAGCTAAGTGTTCACGATTAAGGAAATAGGCACATTGAAAGAGGAACGAGACAAGACAAAATGTAATTTACAGCCAGGCCCGAAGTCGTGACTGAAGCATCATGCAAATTATCATACAATTTACTTTCCAGCATCTTGATACTTAGAAGGACTGAAATCTATTATTATCAATACAAAATTCCAGAATAATAATATGCTAATTATAATGCATAATTTTCTTTTCAAATTCACTACATTAAAAAAAGGTAAATATAAATACCTAAAAAACACATTATTATAATTAAATAATGCTCGTGGTAAAAAATAAAATCACTAGTAGTTCATATACTTCAGAATTGAACATTCACAAATCGAGTGCCATAAAAATAAAATTGTGAGAGACCTTCCCATGAAAATAATAAAGAATTTTGAAGCTGTAAATTTCTATATATAAAAAAAAAACAAGGACAAATATTTTTTCACACACAACATCCCATTTCCAATACACAATATAGGTATATTTATCTTCTTTCCGCATGCATACATTTTTATAAAATAATACAATATTTAGGTATTATATTAAGATAAATGTTTTCTTCGAAGCAATGTTTTTTTTTAAGATGAAATCTTAGTTATTTTGTAATACTAAAAATATTTAAATATTTATAGTATTCGGAAACTTAAATTTAAGAAAATTATGTGTTTTTGATTTGACATGGCTTTGCTGAAATTATATTTTGTACCTAAGAATTGTGATCATTTAAATGGAAAAACAAAAATAAATAAATTGAGAAGAAATTGTAATTTTAATGTTAGTCTTAACTAAGATCAAAGTAATTTAAAAAAAAACCATCACATAAAACATTTATAATAATAATTACATTACTAGAAAATACCAACAACAATAATCCAAAGTGTGACCAATAATTTATTTTGAACATACTTTATAGGTAGAAGAAGACACGCGATAGCCATTTTTATATTGCTTTCGGTAAATAAAATTAGTGGTTACATATTTTTAGCAAAATTAATCAATAATGAAATTATTAGCTAATTGTTAAACAATATACAGGTGTATGTAAGAGGCACGGTATTAAAGCATTTAACCTAATTAGTAAACATAATATAAAAGTATAAATGAAAAGATCATGGTCTGCATTTTTAAAAATTACATTAATTTCACAAAAATAAATAAAATAATATGAAAATGTACTTGAATATACGTAACTTAATTTATTATCAACAACATTTAAGTACAAACAATAATATGTAAATAATAATTTCACAGCAGTACTCGTGTGAATTATTGAATGCAGACAATAAATCTAGTACACAAAATAGTATTCAAATACAGTTTAATACTGATATTTATTGCTTGAAGTGGCATAACCAAGCATTCAATATTGGCAAGATGGATGAAAAATAGTAATTCAACATTTACATTCAAAGACACCCTGTTATAAAGTCTATTATTTATTTACCATTCATGTACCATCAATATTTATTTAATAATATTTCGTTAATAGGTTCACCAAGGAAAAATAATTGAACTATTTACTAATCAATTCTTAAAATAGTAGTATAAAATTGTAAAATATTATGCTATTGATGGTTCAGGATGGCACTGAAAACATCAAGCGCTAACAAAAATATGATTTTTACAATGGTTCATAATTAATTAAGACTCTACGTTGTGATTAGTCTTACTATGTAATAAGTGTAAAATTATATAAATTATAAGTAAAAAAATATGTATATTTATATATATATATAAATAGCATAAATATTTGCATGCAAACCTCTATTTTTCTGCCTTCAACAACTGTTCCATGAAGATGTTCGCGAGCCTCATCAGCGTCAGCGCTATTCCCAAACGTTACAAAACCGAATCCCTGCATGCAACACACACAACAAAACACATGCAAATAAACAAACTCAACAGAAAATAAAATTTTTTATAATAGTAATATTATAACTTATACGTTTTCGTTGTCTTAAATAAAGTATATATGATTATATTATTTTTGATGAAGAGAAATATATATATATATATATATATGCATAAATGATTTGTTTTAGTTAAATTTGTTTGGGATAAGCGAACATTGACGTTCACAGTTATTACTATACAACAAATTAAAATAAAATAGTAGAATAAATGCTAAGTTAGTCCAGCATTCATTATGTATAGCGTTCACAAAATAGTGGTACTTTTAAGCGGTTTACTTTTTTTATTAGCGTTATTTGTGCTCTTAATTACGTGTCAATGATAAACTAGTGTTATTTTAAAATAAAATAAAATTGCGCTACTTATAGCATTGTGTAAATGTTCCCAAAAATATTCAGTTGTGGAAATGGAAATGTTATGTAAAAAAGGAACTTAAATTTCAAAAAAAATTATATTATTTTATTGAAAATTAATTTACTACATTTAGTTTGTATTATATAAAGTAAATTGTGTAACATGGAAGCTAATAATTTTGGGGATTAGTTATGTCTTAGTTTTGTTTAAACTATTTTGTTATGAAATAAAAGAGACTAGAGTAATTCAAATACAAGTTTGTACATTGTATTCAATTAATCATTTTTATAGATATTATTTTTAATTTGAAATGATTCAAAATATAAAACCTACTATTTTAAATAGCCAATTATTCAAAAAAATGCATTTGTTATATATTTTTTTTAATTGAAATAACTAAGAATGTCAATGTATTTTTATTTTTTAGCTACTTATAAAGCGTGAATAATTGATTTTATTTTTTATTATGAATAGTTTTATAAACAAGTATAACATTATTAATGAATTTAACCATAATTACCTTTGATCCTCGTTCATTAAAAATAATTTCAACATCTAGTATTGGTCCAAATTGCTGAAAAAAAGAAATGTTCGGTTGTATGTCATTATAATTCTATTATCATAACATAACATAAATATTGATTAATATTAATGTACACATCGTTACAACATAATAATTATGTTGAAAGTAAAAGCTTTATTAATTCTGTATTGATTAAAACTGTAAATGCACGTTTTACTATATCATTAATTTATATAATTTTTTTAAGCTTGTACATTATGGTTTTAATATTAATTTCAATATTACATAAATTAACAATATTGGGCATGTGCAGTTCTTAAAAATTGTTGATTTACAAAAATACAACAATAAATCGTTTTTCTTTAACACTATAACTGCTCATTCCCAATAATAGGTGTTTAGCATATTAATTAGTAGAAATAGTCTACAAGAAATAACGTAGTCAATAATATTAATCAAACAATATTAATTAATTACCCCAAACATGGCACGCAAGTCAGGCTCTCTAAATCTAAAGGGTATATTTGATACATGAAGTCTCTTTGACTGGGCATTTTTGTCTTCACTAGATGAACAAGGGGACCCAGCGCCAACATTGGTAACGTTCGTTGGTGAGGCTACAGATACTGACACCGGTGTAGTCAATGCATTCGTGGCATTAGTACATTCCAACTATACATTACAAAAAAAAAATATATATATATATTACGAGTGAACTAGCTATTTGGATTATACAAAAATTGTAGCTAAGGCCATTACTTGTGTGTGAACAGAAATGTTAGCAAATGTTACCATAAATAATAATCACGTCCTGTGAAACTCTTACCGGTTGTGATGTTGCGGTGACTGTAGTCGATTGAGACTCAGACTTCATCAGTCCTGTGACAACCGTTTGTTGTTGTTGTTGTTGCTGCTGCTGCTGTTGTTGTTGTTGTTGTTGTTGCTGTTGTTGTTGCTGATGATGTTGTTGCTGTTGTTGTTGGTGTTGATGTTGAGAAGCTACTATAGATGCCATAAGACCAGCGGGAGGTGAATACGCTGAGGGCGGTGGAGGAGGATCGTTATCTACAGACACCGGGGGAAGAGGAGCCGGTGTCGGTTGTGCAGTTACCGTTGCCGGCATCAGTGTTGGCGGCTGAGGATTGGCCATTTTCAATGTCATCGCGGCCATTTGACCGGGCTGCTGCATAGGAAAAGCTCCCGATGCAGCAGCCAGAGATGCATATGGATCAATACCTCCTTGAACCATTTGCTAAAAAAAAAAATAATAATAATAATAATAAGACGTGAATAAAATGATATTATCATCATTTATGTCGTTATTTAAAATATAGGTAATCCTTTAAGAGCTAGCAAGATAATATGCTAGTTAACCTCTGGATTTTTTTTTTTTTTTATTAAGTTCGATTTATTAATTTTGTACAAAATAATATATATAAATTATATACAGTTTTTGTAAATGAAAACAGAAAGGCAGGTATCGGTACTTATTAGCAGAACGATTAATACAAAAAATTCTAAAATTTCGAAATATTAATAAGTAAAAATTAAAAAAAATGTTTTATTACATATGATAAAGCAAGCTCGTAATCATTTACTGGGTCCTACCATTAACCGGTCATCGAAGAATTTACAACCAACCATGTGCAGGTATTAATTTTATATATCAACAACCAGTCAAATTACAATAAAACGGGACGAACAACATAATTATCAGACTCAAAGCAACTAATTAAGCTGAGAAAAGGTCATCGTCCTTCTTTCTGTGCTAATTTATCGTTGTGCATTAATTATCAATCGGATTTCTATACATGAGAAATTATGTTTTTTCATAATACCAACAGATTTTTATTAACATCTAACGTTTTCTCCTAGATGACCACACTATGTAGTACATTTCGAGAGACTTGCATTTAAGATACGCAGTTAATAAAAAAGATAGAAAATATGAAAAATATGACAACGCACGACGATACTATATAATAAGAATATACTTATTATCTCCTTACTACCCTCCTTTAAAGACTAACATAATTAACGAACAATAATAATAACCGTAATGTTATTACTTATTAAACTACATTAAAGCGTTAATCTACGGAGCGATTTGCTGACCAAGCACAAACTTTGTGTTACACTTGCAACTTAATTAACTTCAAGATTCATACAATTATTGAAGAATGTGATTATAATACGTAAAACGCTACTGTTTAAACTTTGTACTGGTATGATTCGCTCACTTTAACAACAATAGCATGACGACGTAGAGAAACAGAATATTACTGACCTCACCATAGAGAAATTTAATGAGGAAAAATGTTTGGGGAAAAAGCTGGCAAATATGAGATAAACACTTTACATGAATAAAATGTTTAAAAGTTAAAAAAAATTTGCCATCAGCCGATGTTGGATGAATAGCCAATGTCAATGGTTAAAAAACAGGCCAAACGAGTATTGAGAGAAACGGCCACGCCACGGCTGGTAACAAGTAATTTTTATTTGAACACCAGTTTTTTTCTCAGTTTCAAAAATCTGTCGCACGCCAGCGGCATACTAATTGCAGTTATTTTTTTCCTCTTATAGTTGGCTGCGTACAAGTATATTATTATTATTATTATTTAGGACATATAAATGATAGCTGTAACAGTAACTTTGTATAATATACTAGTAAAACTATGCGACGACGTTTTCAAAAAGTTTCTCTGTAGAACAACGCCGTTGCGTAACAACGGAGAATTTATTTTTTTTAATTTTATAATACAAGGCGATGATGGTCATACCAGTATTTATTTATATTTTATATTATGCATAAGTGTAGACGAGGCACATACATGCTCCTAGAAAGCTGCGAGTTAAATTCGTGACGACCGAGAAACACACATGCCTTGTATGTTTACATAATTTGCTAATATTATCCTGTCTGGTTTTTTTTGTTTTCGCGAATAATAGTCAATTATCGAGTAATATGACAATAATAAATGGAAAAAAAAACCGGAACCGGCATTATTTTAAAACATAGCTTCTGTTTGACAGACCCACGACTCCCTTTTTTTTAATCTAAGGGAGAGCTCGAGGAAATATTACAAAGCCTAAAAGACTTATTAATATGTATACAAATGTACAATAGAAAATAGTAGCTCTATTGCGGGCGAAAGTGTAAATCACGGAAAAAACAGCTAACGTCGAGTGGCAGAGCTTCACGGTATATCCACTCCGGTCTACTAATGAGGATGTGTGCGGACAAACGGAACACGCTGTTATAATATATATTATGTTATATTGTGTGTGTACTACCGGAGAGGCCGTCAATTTGGAGGACGACCGAAAGGGGGAGGGAGGGGGTAAAGGATGTGTAGTATCCATTGTTACAGCCGAGTTTTGCTGCTCTTCAATGATATATAAAAATTTGTGAACAAAATAAATAATAATAATAATAAAAATACTATTGCTGCGGGTATTAACACGCCGGTTAGGCCGTCGAGTTACATCGTCAAGTGGTTACATCCTACGACTATACAAAATATATATATACACATATTATGATACACCCGTGTCGTAGCACTGCAGTAAAAAAACGACACGAGAGTGAACTATTTAAAAAATTGAGTTAAATTGACGTTTATTGTGTCGTCCCCGTTGTCGCCTAATTCGTCGTTAAATAAAATAAACGTACACCGACGACGACGAATTGAATAAAAAATATATGTCGGTGCGTGTGCGACGATTTTTCTTTGGCTAGCAAGAGCTTCCTCTACGCTCAGATTTATTATGCGGCGTTGATCTAAATTTAGACTGAATTTATAGCCCGCGAACTTCAAACCGACCAATTATTCGACGTGTCTTTGTTTAGGCCGGATCGACGTTGCCGGATCTACAAACGTACACGGCAAGCCGACCGTCAAATATTTTCGACCATGGCTAAGAACTTGGGTAATATTTAAAAAACGTTATCCGAGGGCCATAATATTACATTTTCGAGAGGCTAAAAGAAATATAGAAGGCTTCGTACGTCAATTTTTTATACTATGTCTGAACGTAATAATTATATAAAAATACCAAATTTTAGATGTAATAAAAAATTCATCCTATTTTTCACATCATATTGTCGCAGGATTAAAAAAAACTAATAATTTAACAAGCAAAGGCGTAAGCCGTAAAACACATTTAAGCACTTAATCTTCCAAGATATACCACAACAAAAATATATCTAACTATATTATTTGGAAAATGCTGAATGTCGTTTGGCAATCTAGAATTGTTTTTAATACATTCATTAAAATAAAAAATATGTAAATTTTCAAAGCGATGTTCATTAATCATTACATTGCTCGTTAAAAACCATTTGACATTAAATTAAAATAACATAAGCCCAAGACACATGAATCAACTAATTAACAGATTTGTATTTACTTCGTTAATTATGCGATACTCATACTTTAATAACTTGCCTGCAAATATATTAATATGTTAATTGAATAAAATGAAAAGGTATTAATTTAATAACGACGTTTTTATGTATCAATTTTCAATTTAACTAGGTTAGTTTTAGGCGAATGTCGTCGGTCCTAAATATTTATATAATTTACTGAGTTATTTATTAATATTTAGCCTCTAAATATTGCTTTTAATTTGTTTTGAATAATCATAATTTGTATTCGATGTACAGCCCAACGGTTAGCAGGCGGTTTATGTAGAACTTATTTTTTTTAATTGACCTTTTTAATCAATCCGATAAACAGTGTTATTGATTACTAAACCGATAAGAGGAGACTTCTGGACATATTATCTGGATTTCGTAGAATAGCCTATCGTAGAATCTAATGAGAAAAGACGAGTATCAAATAGAAAAACATGGCTTATCTATATTTTAACGTCTACGATTTATTGTTTATTATACTAACGCAATATATAGATATTCAACCAATTATGACCATTATATACAATTGAAAGGCACGAGGAATGATATAAGATTTTGTTTTTACGTTTTAAAATTCTTTCTTCTTTTTTTCAAATGTACAGTAGTATCAAAAAACTGGCGGTTCGTGTTCGTTTCGGGGTAAACGATCGAGAAGAATTTACAAAAATAAACACCGGTTTGGACGCCATCACAGCGCCGTCGACCTCTTCTCTCCACAACAGAAAGAAACACATATATAACTATAAACTCGGATCATCCCGCGGGATCGATTAACACTGATCTATACACACTAGCAAGCTATCACGTTTCATCTCGGCCACACCCCTCGCGTTAAAGTTTTTTTTTATCTCAATACCCGCGAAGAATCGGTAACCACCGACCGCGGCCCGTAGTACACAGAAAAAACTTTTCATTTATTATGTACTTTTTTTTTTGAATGGCTCTTCTCTTCCATTGACGGTTATTTATTAATTTTTTATTCGGACGACCGTGAACGAACGAAATTTCACCATCGGTTCATGCCAAAAAAAAAAAAAAAAAACACCAGTTAAAGCTGTTCTAAACAGCAGAGCGTGTTGGCTTTAAAAATAATACATAAACGGCAAACCGCTGTCGTTCTGGTTGACCGTCCCAGACGGACTTTGAAACCGTGTACGCATGCCAGAACCTTGTCTACAATGTGTTACATACAACTATAAATGCGTTTCGTTATCGAGTCTTAAGTAAAGACGTCGAAACCCGGCAAAGGTCAATGCGCCGATAAGGTCGACTTCTACGAAATTACCGTTGCTCATCAGTAACTCCTCCCCCGATGAAAAAAAATTACACATAATAGTGATATAATTTCTGACCGATTACAATAATATACAACGTATCGCACGCAGCATAACGTAATGACGGTTTACTAAAAAAACACCAACATTACAAGATTTACAAATGGACCGGATTTGAAAGCAAATCCGAACGATAACCGAACCGACTGGGCTAACTTATTATTTAGATCTATAAAAAATACACTTGACACGTGATCGTCCGCGATCAATACGAGTGTATTACCATCCAACACGAATAATATGTACCTATTAATCTATACACGATGGTTTGACAAATGAAAAAATAGTTTTGATAAAACAAAAATGAAGACTCAAAGTCTAAAAAAAGCTTACACAATAATGATATTAAATGCACGAGAAACATGTACACGATTATGCAGGTTAGAAACACTACACGAGAGATTGTTTATTAAAAGTTTGCTATTCATCAAAATATGTCATGTATATAAAAAAAATAACAGAGACAAAGTGTTTTAAACGTAGATGCTTGTTTAGTTTTAT